AACAAAACAAAACAAAACAAAACAAAACAAGAAGAAAGAAATGCAGAGATATAAAGAGGCATATGCAAGCAAATAAAGTAACAGAAGCGTCTAAAAAAGGACGGACCATTTGCTATCATTTTGTCTTACAATATTCACCTATTTTCTTTCCCAAGATGCATTTTTGACCTTCGCAACCTGTTGGGAAACAATTGCATATCCTTCTTTAGCATAATACACAACTCCTACCATCACATTAAGTTATACTTATTCAAGGGTGTCCAAGCACCTTCGGTAGATTGATCACATAATTATATTGATGGACACATGATAAGAAATTAAAATTCTGGCATACTCAACGGAATTTCTCCCAGAGACATGTAAATTAGATCATCATCTGCCAGAGCCCCCTGAAATAATAAGCAAAATACAGATTCATTAAACCTCAATCAAGGTGGTCAAGGGGAACCTATGAATTCATCTAGTTCTAAATCACTATAGATCAGGAAGAGGGTGGAGATGGAAGTAGATTATGATGGGCATAGACTTAAGCACTCCCAAAACATATAATACTAACATTTAACAAAGTAAGAACTTCACAACAAAATAAGAAGGCAGGCAAAGTAAAAGAAGAATATTGAATAATTGACAAAGTTGGATATAAGGAAGGAAGTACTTCTCCATTCGGAAGTGGCATTTCATTGTGCATTGGATTGATGTCTCCTTGAACAGAAGAACAGTTGGGGAATTCAGCTCCAAGTAACTCTGAAATCATAAGTCCATAACCATCTTGAACATCAGGAATATCCCCACTATTTTGTGGGTTATTAGAAAAGCCTTCCAGTCCACTAAATACGGTCTCCCTCCTGAAATTACATCAATACAGTTAACCACAAGGTATGTATACAATTTGAAAACTTCACAAAAATAGAGAATTTTAACACAAGGGAGCTTGGTGCGGTACAATTATCTGCATATTTAAGGAAACGTAAAAACAAAATAATATGCACATAAAAGATGAGAGAACTTACTTTCTCTCTGCATCGTGGAAGCTCTTGTCTACTTGAGCCGCGGAGTCATCTTCCAAATCAATAATTTCAATCTCTTTACTCCCAGCCACTATACCATTCTGACCAAATTCAGTAGCATTGCTTATAGACAAGTCAATATCAACAGGTGCTGCTTCTCTTTTTGTTTCAGAAATAGATGGGAAGATGAGAAGAGGATTATTATCATGATTATCATGTATGTCAGAAACCTCCATAAGGTTAAGGTCACAGATCTTAAATGAATTTGGAAAAAGCTGCTTTTCTTGTGCATAATCAACACAAGGCCCACCCCCACCTCTCATGAAATGAAAACTATTCACTGAGTTCACACAGTCAGCAGCTACAATAACTTCACCATCACATGATGGTTTGTTTTCCTCGGAACAGACTTTTGTTTTATCGAACTTCAGAAGGTTAAAGGATTCGTCTTCCTTAGAAGTGATCGATGGAATCCATTCTCTTGGTTTTTTATTTTCCTCCACCACATCCCTCTCATCTAAAGATCGTTTTTGGCCCCTCTCCTCAAACATAGGATTACTCCTTCCAAATACAGCGGAACTTTGGCAAGATTCTTGCTTGCTCTCATTCCAAAATGCTCCATGCTGTAAAGGTTGAGATGTCAAAGAGCTAGCTTTCTCACCATATCTAGGATATAGCTCCTCCACTATACCAGATTCCTCAAGAGATTCTGGTTTAGATCTTTCAGAGTTTTGATGCTCAACGTCATGTTTTTTAGCTGATACAGAACCAGATAATGTACAACTGGAAGAGTTACTGTCAAGTGAAATTTCAGATTCTCTGTTAGGGTTGATATCAGAAGGTCGTTCTGACACAGTTGTAATAGGATCTGTCTTAGAACCCTTGTATGCCAATGAAGAGCGAGTTTTGGTGGGGAACTTAGCAAATCTGCAGAATGCTAGTAGATCAGTCTCTTGCTTCACCAAGGGGTCACCATCAGCAACTTTGTTCTGGACAGATAGTTTCTCCACCACACAGTGTTTTTCAGTTTCATTAGTACTGGTATTATTTTTCACATCCTCGGAGCCTGAATCTATGGTACTTAAATCATCAGAACCTTTAGTAAGTTTCTGCTCACATGGAAGATCTTTCCCAACAGTGAAAGCACTTGCCTTTGAACCTACATCATCTGGCAAAGGGTACTTAACCAACTCAGGTCCTGAATCATCGGGTATGTCACCATTTCGTCCTAATTTGGAGGATTTGAGGTCTTGCAATTCAGTACCAACTTCTTCACCAGTTTGCTGTTGACTGCTATAAGCAGAAAGATTATCAGTGTCATCATCGGCGTCTGTATCTGGAGAAGCTCTAGCTCTATCATTGTAAGTATTGCTCCTACTGTAATCATGGCCACCCCAATCAGAACCACCACTTCGGAAAGATGTGGATCTTCTTCGTCCTCTCCAATGATTTCGTGATGATGCTGAACTATATTCATCAGATGGTTGCCTTCTACCTGACCCAGAATCAGGTCCAACAAATCCTGAATGAGGAGCTGCAGTAGATGCTCGTCCTTCTTCACGAAGTGGACCTAATTCCTGAAACTCAGAAGGCTCCTTCCTCAAGCTTCCACCTTGCCATTTACCAGACAAGACACTAGATGGGAGCAGACCTTGAGACACCAGGTATTCAGCTGCAAGGCGACCTGCTTCCATGAAAATATCAACAGAACCCCCACCTCTTCGCGGAGGAGGCAACGACTGGGATGATTGATATGATTTATGGTATCCCTGACCGCGCCCAAAGCCACCCGGGTGATTAAAGTTGCGATAGTCAGAGCCATATGCGCTGCCATGGCCCCTAACCGATCCCTCAGGAGAGATTCGAGAAGAAGCTAATCCCACTCCCATGGAACTAGACCTAAACCCATTTCCAGTATTTCGGTGACGGGGATGCATATTTCAAGTAAGAATTCGAAGGCAATCAGGCAACAGTATAATTGTCCTATTCCACTAGAAAGGATCGGAGAATCCCTAACCCTGTTCCCCCAGCTGAAGAAACCAAAAAATATTTCGGTTACAAAGAACAGATTCCCCGAAACCCCGGACAATCCAAATACTCAATAAAAAACCGAAGTTATGTTCCAAATGGAGCAAGTTCCTGCGAGAACATGATTTCCCCAAATCCGATTCGTAGTCCAACAGTGTAAAGCAACAGTTCCTAAGTCGAACAGATCTGAACAATATTCGATTTAGCAATCCAAGTAGAAGCTAACCTGTTGCGGAAAACAATCACCAATCCGTCTACTCGATGATGATGATGATGATGATTTGAAACGCGTATGCCAATAAGAGTTGGATAGGTTTTCCGATCGAGAAGTGAATTCGTCAAATCAGCACCAGAATTTCACCGCCATTTCAAAGCCCACCATCTCTCTGCAAGAAATTCGGCTGATTTTTTCTGCCGCGCGCCCCAATACCAATATGTACCTACAAATTGGTGATTGCAAGGCTTTTTCATCTCCGCCGAGGACTATTGCTCAAAAGGCAAGGGCTTAAAATTAATTAAATAAAAATAATAAAATCATACATTAATTTAATTAATTTATACTATCAACATTTAAATAACTCAATAATGTAATTTATTGAATCCATTGATTGGTTATCCATCCCATCGTTAAGTATTAATGTCTCTCCTTTCATTTAATGTTTAATGTAATCAATAAATATTTATTTAAGCGCGTGCGATTTACTATTTCATTTATTTTAATTCAACGAAGTGTCTGTATTTTATAAATTTTTTCGGTAAAAATTGTAAGTTCAAACTTGTCATGCAGTTATTTTTCTATTCAGAACTAGAGACTTTAAGATGCGGCACGTAGAGAATATTTCATCATTAGTGATCTATTGATTTTTGTTTGAGATCAATACATATGTTAACGTTCTAAGAATGTTTATACCTAATTATGATCTCTTGAGAGCACGTGTGAGTAGTAGGATAGGTCGAGCTATTTGGAGTGATGTGTGAGAGAATAGATTTTCAGAAAGAGAACAAAACACTCTGACGTTCAAATTAGTTGGAATCTGACCTAATAGCTCTTAGAATGAGAAATCTGATTGCACATCTATGAACGAAAATGATTGGGTACTTATAAAAATTAGGCAGTGAATCTCATAGCTTCGATCTATTACACATTTGCTAGAATTAATTAGGTAGTACATACGATTTGTGCGAGATACTTCAGCGTAGGCCATCAGTGGAGTTCCGAGCTATATGGATACACTTTGGTCGAGCTCGATAGCTCGAGTTGGACTATTTATTTATGACGTTAGAGGATATATAGATCAAGTGAGATAATCTTTCGTAGCAGACCACGTAGTAGATAGTATTTTACCCTCCACCAAATAAGTAAATCTCCAATCATTTATTTAACAATTACATAAATATTATGAGATGTATCTAGTATCGTAAGTAACTTATTCTTTTAATTTAAAGTTTAAATGATTAGAATATTTTAATGACAACTTGTGCCATTAAAAGTTTCATGCATGTATAGTGAAATTAGCAAATGGGTAATTTGTGAGGAATGGAAGTTTTCAATTAAATTTGTCAAATGAGTGGCTATTGTTTAATTCTCTTTTATTTTCGTTGATGTAGAAATTTGACCTCCTGCGATCTCACCAAATTTGCACCACAAGGCAGGTCCCCTATAAAGCCTATCGACCAGAAAGTCTTCAAGAACGAGAAAGCTGACCAAAAGATTATTTTATAACCGACTCTTGTTGCGAAATCGAAGGGACTTGGCTTGTACCAGGCTCTAAAAGAATTTTCTTCAACTGAGCTGTCTTTCGAGATTTTTGGGTTGCATACCCAAGATAGTTTTTTTTAGATTGAGATGGAATCTTCTAGAATAAAGGGATCAACACCACCTGCTAAATAGAATAGCACTCAAGATCAGTGCCTCTTGCCACACAGGTTCAGATGTTTAAGTCATAATCGAAGAAGTCGGGTATGGAGAGTAGGGTGATTAGGCTTACCTTTAGGATTTGGTTCACCTTCTTATTTATAGAAGTCGAATCCTAATCCCTTTAGGAATTATAGAGGTCGAATCTCAATCCTTTTAGGATTTACATAAGTCAAATCCTAGTGTGCTTAGGAGATCTGGACTCTTGGGCTCGTGTGTTTCATTGTGGGCCTAGTGTTAGGGTTGAGATAGAGTATAACCGGATCGGGCTGCACAAGGGTCGAGGAGAACCACGGGTGCCATCGAGAAGGTCTCGGCACCGAAATTTGGTCGGCGCCGAGCACTGCTCAGCGTCGACCCCGGGTCGGCGATGGTTGGCCCGGGTCGCTGGTTTTGGTTTTCTTACCTGGCGTCGTGAGCCCACTCCTCTCTCTACCCAACTTCCCTCTTCCGTTGTTTTGGTCCGTTTTTCTTTTATCTTCCTGTAACAATTCTTAAATATCTTCTTATGAAATCGATATTTATGGAAGGAACTATCAAAGAGTTTTATCATCCTATATTTATTTGCATGATTTGGATTAAAAAAGAAAGTTATAGATTGTTAAAAACATTTAAATATTGTTTTGGTTAGTTGTTATATTTCTGTTTGATCAGAAATTGACCAACTCTGCGAACCTCGGCTCAAATAGAGGATGACCTGGAAGACGAGCTGGAGATACGTTCAGAGACATGCAAAACAAAGGCACTACGTTGCCAAAGTCAGTATATGTCTGAGCAAATCTAGTATTTTCGTACCTAAAAATGAGGCAAGTGTGTTTTATTTATAGGTCAAATATCCGACAATATCCCCGACAAGACCTCAACGGCTCTTTAAAGTAACCGTGAAATGTCGGAGACTGGTGTTAAGTCGAAGTGAAGCTGATCGATTCAACCAATAAATGAGAACGAAATCTCAAAGGACCAAGGCAAGGGAATGAGTCTTATTGATGAAAGCCACGTGTGATTTTTATTATCCAATCAAGATGTGCCACGTGTGAGCTGAAAATCACATACAATTTAAGCATGTATTTCTTGAAGTAATCATACCTTCACTTTCATTATTATTTCATTTTTTCAATCAAAATTTTAGCATGACATTTCACTCATTAAAATTTTTGAAAGTAGCCATAGATTTTGTATAAAAGACTTTTAATTGTGTATAAAAACTTATATTAAAATTTTATCAATATAGACAAAACTTTTCGCTTTTAAAAAGTACAAAGATCAAAACAGACGTTTAAATACATGAATTATGATGAACAAAATTTAAAAATATAGTTCCTTAAAACTTCCTACATATAAGCAAATCAATTTAATCACTAATGCTTGTTATCTAATTAAAGTATGAGTAGAGCTTTTTTTTATACCATTTTCTTTTTAGTTCAATCAGATGTGGAGTGGAGTTGGAATACAAGACCTTTTGGTCGGTAATGTTAATGATGAATCAACAGACAATATTTGTTTTAACAAGTTAAGCTAGACTCGATAAATATAAATGAGCTAACATGATATTTTACTCTTTTTGTATATACAGATGCAACTATATATATAATATTCCAATGTTATTACATTAGTTTTCTATCCTACATTCCTATATGAATAGTTGTTGTTGGAAATTATAATATCTAACTTGTATTCAAACATGAACTTATAAGTTAGGACATATATTATTTATCTCGACATATCCTCACATTTGTCTTTAGAAAAGGCGAAACATGTTTCATTATCTTAGCCTTTAAATTTTTTTCACGATAATTTTTATAAATCGATCAAATAATCAACGACCAATTCTCTAACCCACATGAGATGTATGAGATTTCCAACGGTTTGGAGCAATTATATCATCATCTCCTCAATTTTTTTAGACAACTTAGGATATTGTTCCTTAAATAGGCGATTTTTCAATGTTCAAAGGGCATATTTATATGCACTTTCTTGGAATTCTGCTTGGGAACAGCATACAAGAATCTCATCTGGATCCCAATAACATAACCAACATCTTTCAAACATTTTTCTTTTGTTTAGTTTACGCTGAATTTCAATTGGTCGAGTCTTGAGCGAGATGACTAGTTAAGCTAAGTGGAGTGAACTATTTAAGAACAAACATTTCGATGTTCAAGTTAGTCAAATGTTCGAATTCTTAGGTTGGTTCTAGACAGAATTGCATACTAAATTGAGAGAAGTGATGACGAAATTATAGGAGTTAGTGGAATTTTTGTGTTACGTGAATCATTGGTTTGATACTTAAGGTTGTTGAACTGTTCCAACAGCTTACAAAGCTGTCAGATTCTAGCTCAAATGTGATTAGCTAAGATATCTTTACCTTTGTATAAGGCTCCACGTTAGTGATATTGAGCTGCGTAGATTGGCATTACAAAATCAGTCATGAATCGTAATTTTCGATCTAGGGGATATACTATAATTTCACCTTCCAAGTCCCAACATATTTCAAACTATTTAACCAAACCTTTGTTTTGACATCAAACAGTGTCTTTAGATTAATTTTCAAATGAGTGAAATTGTATAAGTGTCCGATGTCAAAAAAAAAAATGTTAAATTGTCTAAAATGAGCAAAACTGTTGACATTGATGAACACAGACAAAAGGCTGAACTTCCATGCGAAAATGCTGATCAAATCTTCAGCGGCCACGTCAAATAGGCAAAAACTTGACCATCTAGAAATTACCCACTTGAATTTAGATCAAGTTTCAACTTTCCAACACGATCGAAGGCTTCGGCGAAGAAAGAAAAAGGAACGTTCCTTTTAATATAAGCAAGTTTTTGTGTAAAAGACAAATCCCTTGGCATTGTCACTGACTTGTACCGAATTGCGTCTGGAAATGGTACAGTATTTGGGACGGGTCCTCTCCGTCGGCGTTGAAAGAGTATGCTTTCAATTCAATAATAAATGGGGTTTCATCGTGGCCGATTGGGTAATTTCCCCCTTTGACGTGCCGTGCTACTCTTCTGCAATTCCTTGCTTCTTCTCCACCTTCATCACCTGCCCAAGTCTCCAATTCATTCTTCTGATTCATGTATTGTTTTTTTCTCTGAGGAGAAATTGAGATTGAGAGCTCTGGTGGGATCTTTGGGAAAAGTTTTCTGCAATTAGAACCCGTTAATCTTCCTCAAAACAATAATGCCAGCGACCCCATCATCCAATTTGTTCCATCAGTCTTCTGTTTTTGATTGCCATAAACGGACCCATGTTCATAATTGCACCCGATTGGTCTCTCCGGCAGCTGTTTCTTCTTCCACTTGTTCGTTGAGTGTTTTTTCGAGTTCCCATTTGTCGGGACGGCGAATCAACGGGTTCCCATCTTCCAATCTTGTTTCCTCCTTTTCCCCTTCTTTTGTCACTTCCATTCGTCCGCGAAATGGGTTTATCGGCGGCAGACTCCGGCGGAAGAGGCGGCCGAGAATTGCGGTTGTTTCCGCCATTTTTGAGCGGTTCACCGAACGAGCGATTAAGGCTGTGATATTTTCGCAGAGAGAAGCGAAGGCCCTTTCGAAGGATTTGGTTTTTACCCAACATCTTCTTCTGGGTTTGATCGCTGAGGAAGAGCATAATCAATCGCCTGGCGGTTTTCTGGACTCGGGCGTCACACTCCATGTGGCACGTGAGGCCGTTCGAAGCATTTGGCATAACGAAGATGCAAAAGCTGATACCAGTGACCAAAGTGCGACTGTTACGCCTCATGTCCCTTTTGCTATCAGCACCAAGCGGGTCTTTGATTCTGCTGTGGAGTATTCCAAGCAGATGGGTCATCATTTCATTGGACCCGAACACCTCTCCATTGCTCTACTTGCTGCTGACGACGATGGTAGCATACAGTTGATTTTGAAGAGGTATTGATCATCTAGAATTTAAAATCCTACCAGTTTTATTGATAAATATGCTGTATTGTTGTCTCATAAGATTAGTTGAGGTAAGCGGCTTGAACACTGACGAATATAGAAAAAAGCCTCAGATCTAGACCATGCATGCATATCTATTTCCTACCATCCTCCTCTTTTAGCTTCATGTTGCTCAACCATGGAGGATTTTCCACCCCCTTTTATCTCATGAGCTTGAAGAATTCACCTTCTTCTGCTCATGTAGTCTTTCTCGATTCTATGGTCTGAATTGTTTTTCCATAATTCTTCTTGGATTTTCTTTTCCCGTGGCTCTTTTCCGATGGCTATTTTTTATTTTAGAAGTCACTTGTTGACGTTTATTGTTCTTTTGTACGCTTCTGATGTTTTTGGTGAAGAGATCCAAATAGTTTTATTGGAGGCATATGCCTCAGCGGATCATTTTTAGATTCCCCATTTGATATTTACACCTCCCTCAGCTGAGGTGCCTGCATCTTTGGATTAATTGCACATTCAATTTAATGCTGAGGATTTAAAGGAGTCAATCATTTACTAGTAATTTTTTCTAATCATGTGAGAATTATTTGGTCTTGCGGTTAAAGCAACACTATGGGAGTTTGGAGCGAGAAAAATCCAAAATCTTTTGAAGGGCGGGCTGGAGATTGAACTAAGCTGTGGGACGTTCATATACTCCACTTTGTGAGCTCATCTTGGTGTATCCGTTCTATTTCTTCTCGTAGTTACAATTCCTTTGTTTTTAACACCAATTTGAGCACTTTTTAAAGCTTCCTTGGTTTCTCCTTTTTGTTGCGAGGGCAGTAAAACTCCTGGCCTGATTGTTCCACGTTAGATATTTTATGTACTTCTTTTTCTATTCCAAGAATGGAAGATAGCTAAAGAGGATTTAGTTAGACTTTTCTGGGAATTTCATGAAAGAAGCTCTGTCGAACAAGATAGGAATGAGACTTATCTTTGTTTGTTGCTTAAGAAGAAAAATACTCAAATGCTTAGAGATTATTGACATATTAGCCTGGTCACCCACGCAAATGAGATTTTAAGCCAAGGTGCACAGGCCTAGAGTATCTTCACAATTTTACCATTTTGTGGACCATCCCATAATAAGCATTATTTGTAAACTTGAGCACCATATTTATTCAGCGTAGTTTAAGGGGAATTCAACGATTGAGCTTTTAGTGCTCAAATGCTGATTATGAAGCACTTAATGCTGTCTACTTGTTATCTTCACCGAAAATAGGAAAAAAATTCCATCTACTTATCTAGCACGTTGAATATCATATCTTATATGTCACTACTCAGCAAAAGCATCACATTTTAGACATATGTTTGCCTAACTGCTATTAAATAGCCTGCTATTTTGAAATGAATTCAGCTTAGGGGTAAATGTTACTCAGTTGGTAGATGCAGCAATATCCAGGCTTAAAGGGGAACTCGACAAAGATGGTAGAGAGCCATCTAGTTCATTGCAATGGATACCTAAAAGATCCACTTCTAGAAAAGCCCTTCGTATGAAACCCTCTCAGAAAGAAAAAGGTAATGGGTTATGATGCTGAATTTATATATAGTATATTTTTTATTTTGAATTTAAACAATGGAAAAGAGATGTTCAATGTTTTTTTCTATATTTTGTCAGAGAATAGTGCTTTGGATCGATTCTGCGTGGATCTTACTGCTCGTGCGAGTGAAGGACTCATCGACCCTATTTTTGGTCGAGATTCTGAAGTCGAACGAGTTGTGGAGATACTTTGTCGCAGAACAAAAAATAACCCCATTCTTATTGGTGAGAGTGGAGTAGGAAAGACAGCAATTGCTGAAGGGTTGGCTCTCAGTATTGCTCAGGCAGATGCTCCATTCGTACTGTTGGTGTGATCTCTAATTTCTGATTGCTAATTTTATAATCAAATTTATTTATTTATTTTCATTTACTTCCATCGCACTGCTTTGATGCTTTTGTGTTTTTGTTCAGTTATAGTGTATTATATAGGAGTCAGTGGGATTAGGATGTCTTCTTGCAATCTTGAAACTTGGTTTTAGAATTGAAATGTGAATGAGGGAGCAACTGAGAAGTGGTGTTCTCTCTTTCTTTGCCTTTTTTTTTTTTGCTGAGGTCTTGTTTTGTGTCGAGTCGTGATAGGAGATAGTAGTGTGCCGAATTCTCAAACGTTTTCTCTATTTAAATCTATGTTGAGTTTCTTGAGGCAATGAATAGGGTGGGAGACATCTATTCTAGGTTCTTAGTCAAGTTGATTAGGAAAACCAAGGTTCTATAGTTTTTTTCCCCTGTTTGGTTGCTTATCCTCCATAAATTCCATAAATTGGACATCTCTTTGTGATAGAAAACAACACTTGTAATGGAGCGAACAAAGTTACAGGGGAAAAGTGTCCCCACAAACCAAGAGGACTTACAAATGAGGATTCTGGTTGAAAAAAATAATCAGAACATCAGAGTTACAGAAATATTTGGACGAAGTACACATAGAAAGAAAAATATGTGTAGATATTCAGCCGCCCTAATTCCTCTTTTTTAATGTGCCTTTGTTTTAATTCTTAGTGATTTAACTTCATTTGCAATTCTAAGAAGTTTTGTATGGTTTGTATCCTTTATTGCTCGTGATTTATCTTTTTATCTTATTGGAACATGTGAAATTTTTACATATAAGAAAATGCATTAGTAACTCCATATTTTCTCCACAGAACAAACGTGTAATGTCCTTGGATATTGGACTGCTGATGGCTGGTGCTAAGGAAAGGGGAGAATTGGAGGCACGTGTTACTTCACTAATTGATGAGATAACAAAATCAGGTTGAGGCTTTTTGTAAATTGCATTCTAAAAAATTATTATTATATTATTATTTTGATGGAAAAGTGGAGGAACATGAAAGAATACAAGAGGACGTAAAAAAGAAAATCCAACAAAGAGTCAAACCCAAAACTTACAAAAGAACATTCACAATCAAAACTAGCCATTTTTTTTTAATATAAAATAAAGAAATTGAGCTTTCATTGAGAAAAATGAGAGAAATACAAAAGAACATCCAAATAAAGGAAGCCCAAAAGTACAAAAAAGGGCTCCAATCTAAAATAATAATACCTAACTCATGATTACAAAAACCATTGAAACAGAAGTCCACAAGGAGGTATTAAATATAATGATGTTCCAGATCTCCTCCCAAAATCTCTCAAGCCCTCTAGAAATGCTGTTATTTCTCTAAAAATTATGTTATTCACAATCAAACTAGTTTATCTTACTCATTTGTGGTATGTTTGGCCTGCAGGCAATATTATCCTTTTTATTGATGAAGTCCATTCACTTGCTGAGTTTGGCGCAATTGGAGGTGGAAGTAAAGGGTCTGGTCTTAACTTTGCTAATTTATTGAAACCATCACTTGGTAGAGGAAAACTGCAGGTATCTTCGTTAATATATTTTATTGAACTTGAAAGAGAGATCCAATATGCATGAATGTAAAATTTAACATTTATTGTGTTGTATTACCTTAATGACCGTATGAACTCTGCTTAGTTTTTTATTGGTAGGAAATAATGTGTATTCTGTCATGATATTAGTTTGACATAGCTAAGAATTATGCTTTACCTTAATATTATGATACAGAATCTGACATTTGTCATGTTCTTCATTAGTGGATATGATGCAGAATCTGACATGTGTCATGTTCTTCATTAGTGGAGAGTGTCTGACAAGTCATTCATGGGAGGATTAATTGACTTTATTAAGAGATTGTCTACTTTGTTGTTGGGACCGCATTTGTGCATGTGGGGTTACCATTTTTCTTATTCAGGTTGGGACAATTTCTTGGAGATTTTAGGCTTGCAATTGATCTTGTTGCTCGACGATGGAAGAGCTGTTGTTTCACTCGCAGTTTTGAGGCTAGGGGGCCCTTTGGTGTGCTGGTTTTTTTTTTTTTTTTTTAATTTCTTTTGTTATTTTATGGAACATTTGGCTTGAGAAAATTAAGAGAGTTTTTAGAAGGGGTTGAGATATATATGTATTTCTTTCCTTTAGAAGAAACAATTTTATTGATAAGATGAAATAACAAAAGAGGGAAACTCCAATTACAAAAAAACGCCTTTCCAGTTGGAAATTAAAGAAGAGGAACTACAAAGAGTTGAGAATCTTGAGGAGAAGCATGGGCTACCGTGAAGTTTAATGCCTCCTTTGGGGTAGTTATCCTAAGCCTCTAAAGCTCTCTTTACTACAAGTCCACCCCACTTCTCCCTGAGCCTAATAAGTCAGTCGGTTGATTGCAGAGATCTCTAAGAACATAATCCTCAATGGTTCTATTAAAGAGCTTCATGGATATACGAAAGAGACAACTCCAGTTTGACTTTCAGTAAGAAACCTAGTTACTTTCGTCTTTAGATTCCTTGGTGAGTACTAACGATGACCACAAAGACGGAAAATGTTGCTGCCATAATGCTCGAGACCCACCAGGACTGGGTGGCCACCACTCTCTTTTTTTTTTCAAGGGAAAGATATATGAAAAGGAAACAACTTTTCATTTTAGCCACCATTTTCTAAAAAGAAAAGCTACAACGATCCCTGATAATGACTTTAACCTCAAGGCATTTAACCTCTCCAAACTCCAGGTAGCTTCTCAAATACTTCTAAGAAAAAAAGACTAGGTATTTCCACAAGCTTAGTTTCTTGGAGAATACTGGCATTTTGACTCCTTTGGCCACTTATCTCTCCTCTGGCATTCTTGGAGAATACTGGCATTTTGACTTCTTGGGACGGGGCTTTCTCATCCCCCTGCCCTTGGGTAATCTCTTGTTCTTTTTATGGCTAATACATCTTTGTTTCTTATAAAAAAAAACATACTGGCTGACAACATCCAATGCCAGCCTTCTCATAAGTCATAACCTTCAGGAATTGAGACAATTCTTTCTGCTATAGTTCTGCAAGTAAACGTTAGATGAGAGAAGTTTTGGTTTTCTCAACCCATAGCACATAGCCTTTGCATCTCAACTCCCTATAAAACTTATTACCTTTAGGAGTTCTTAAGAGGTTTTTTGAAACTATCAAACTACCATAACGAGGAAGCAAGCTATACATAAAAAGGAAAGGAGTGCGATTTTCCAGCTTCAATACACTGCAGTCTAATTCTCTTAAAACTTAAAAGTGCTATCAAACCCTAGGAGAAAATTTTCTTTTCAATTATGTAGGAATGTTCTGGGCAATTCTAAACCTTCATTGAAGAACCAACTAGAAGGATGCTTTTTAACAACTTCCGTTGAACACATTCTCGAATTATCTAACTCAGTTTTTTATACTTCTATCTAGATTGTTATCCTTTAAAATTTCAAAATAAAGCTGGTCTAGACGTTCGGGGATAGAAAAAATGGTTCAATATAGACTAGTATATGATCTTGACTCCATTTATTTATTGCACATAAACAGTAGGTTAGATATCCATAAATGAATTAAATTTACCCAACCCATCAACTTAAGCTTTTGGGTTGAGTGGTGGTTTATTCATCCTTAGCATAGTATCAGAGTGGAGGTCCTGTGTTCGAATCCCTACATGTGTTTTTTCCTCCTTATTTATTATGATTTCTACTTGTTGGGTCTTGTTGCAATTTTTCAAGCCCACAAGTGAGGGGAGTGGTAGATATCAATAAATGAATTAAATTTACCCAACCTATCGGTTTAAGCTTTTGGGTTGAGTGATGAATTATTCATCCTTAACACAGTATGTTAACGACAAAATGGTATAAGTTCAAATTGTTTTCCTTATGCGTACCTTTGAATTTTAGGCGTCAATCTTATGGTCATTTTACTTGGGCCAAGCAAGAATCATGTCTTTCTTCTCCATATGTGTGCACTATTTCTATTGGACGTTTTTAGGTACAAAACTAATTTATTGCTTGCAGTGTATTGCTTCGACCACAATTGGTGAATACACAAAGCAATTTGAGAAGGATAAAGCATTAGCACGACGATTCCAACCTGTGCTGATTGAGGAGCCTAGCCAGGTAATTTCAATAGTTCTTAATAGTACATTATGCACAAACCATACATTTTTCCAATGTTTAATGGGATAGGTTCCTACATTTAGGAGAATGCAGTGAGGATGTTGCTGAGTATTCGCGAGAAATATGAGGCTCACCACAACTGCAGGTTTACACTTGAAGCAATAAATGCTGCTGTGTATCTGTCTGCAAGATACATAAGCGATAGGTATCTCCCAGATAAGGCAATTGATCTCATTGATGAAGCAGGTAGTAGAGCTCGTATGGAAACCTTTAAGAAGAGAAAAGAATTGCAGGCTTCTATACTCTCTAAATCACCAGATGATTATTGGCAAGAAATTAAGGCTGTTCGGGCTATGCATGAAATGGTATTGCCTTTGCTTATTTAGTTTTATTGCTCAACTCTAATCATTATTAACATTGCCTCTTTTTTTCTGCTAATTAATAGATTCTGGACAATAAACTCAAAGATGGTGGGGTACATAGCTCAGATTCCTCTGGGGAAAACGTCTTGGAATCCACTTTCTCTTCAATATCAGATGATTACGAGTATAAAATTTGATATATATGTACTAGGGGGAAGGATGAATAAGATTCTGTTAGCCCAAAGAGATCTTTTTTCCTTAAAGAAAATTAATTTATAATTTTATTTGTTCCAGACCCGTGGTGGTGGGAGCAGACGATGTTGCAGCAGTTGCTTCTCTTTGGTCAGGCATCCCAGTTCAGCAGCTAACAGTTGATGAGAGCATCCTTCTGATGGGTCTTGACGAACAGCTAAGAAAGAGAGTTGTTGGGCAAGATGAGGCTGTTTCTGCAATTTCTCGAGCTGTTAAGCGGTCTCGTGTTGGGCTTAAGGATCCTGACCGACCAATAGCGGTCCTACTTTTCTGTGGCCCTACTGGAGTTGGCAAGACTGAACTAACAAAAGTTCTGGCAAGGTGCTACTTTGGATCGGTAATGCTTTTATCATTATCATTTACTTTTACAGCACTCTGCACTTGTATTGAAGTGTATTGATCCATTGTGGCCTTTTCTATGATGTCAATATCATTATTATATATTATCCAGTATAAAAGAAAGTGTTTTGAGGTCAGCGTAAAAGATGTGTATTATATTATTCAAGGTTTCATCAAATATTGTTGTAGCACTAAAGAATGATAAGGATATTGCTGGGAGTACTATGTTAGGTTAAATTACAAGGTTTATCTTTGCACTTTTAAGGTTGTGTCTAATAAGTTCTCGACCTTTAAAAAATATCGAGTGGATTTTTTAACTTTAAATTTTGTATTTTAAAAAATTCAGGGACCTATTGATTAAATTATGCCTAAGAGGTCCCTGAATTTTCTAATATGATAGAAATCTATTAAACACAAAATTGAAAGTTTGGACTTAGTAGACTAGACACTTTTTAAAGTTTAGGGATTTATTAGACACGACATTAAAAATTTTGGAACTCATTAGATACTTTTTAAAGTTCAAAAACTCTAAAATTTCAGAGATTAAACTTGTCATTTTACCACAATAGGAGAAATTGAGAAAGTTATAAGACTTAGCTTCACCATCTCTACTATTTGGATTAAATTATAAGTTTTGACCCTGCAAGACTGCACCTGTTTTGTCTAGTTTTTGTAGTTAGATTTTTTTTAATAGGTCCTTGAACCTTCATGGTTGTGTGTTTTTAGAAAAATCTACTTGAACTTACAATTTCGTGTCTAATAGGTCGTCATGGTTAACTTTGTTATTCTAAAGCTTACACAACCAAACGTTGGAACTTGACAAAAATCAAACTGCCACATAATTCATAATAACACAAACAGCACGTCCCATAAGTGTTAAACTAATGGAGCTAATGACATGGATCTATTAGAAACTTTTGTCAGTGTAGGGACTAGAATAGACACAATCTTGAAAGTTCAAGGGTCCATTAAAAATTTTTAAAAATTTTTAAATTATAGAGACTAATAAACACAGTCGTAAAGGTTCAAGGACCAAACTTATAATCTCATTGACTCTACCGAACATTGTGTGGATTATTACCATCCGAATTTAAGTTAGCTTTTAAATATTACTATCTATTTAGCATATGGACACTAACCATATAATTATTGCAGGAAGCAGCTATGCTGAGATTGGACATGAGTGAATATATGGAGCGACATTCGGTGAGCAAATTAATCGGATCACCTCCTGGATATCTCGGCTATGGAGATGGAGGAACATTAACAGAAGCAATTAGAAGGAAACCATTTACAGTGGTATTACTTGATGAGATAGAGAAAGCTCATCCGGATATTTTCAACATCGTCCTCCAGTTGTTTGAAGATGGACACCTCACAGATTCTCAGGTTTGTGCTCATTTTACTTCAAGATTGATGCTGTTTCTCAAGTTAAGAACCAAGTTTTAAAGAAGAAACATACTTTTGCCTTGCATGTTCTTTCAATTGCAAATTATTCTTCATTGTCTTACATTTAAAATCGGAATCGACAGGGACGGAGAGTGTCGTTTAAGAACGCATTGATAGTGATGACATCAAACATCGGTTCAACTTCCATCATAAAGGGTAGACACCGCTCCGTTGGTTTCTTTACTTCAGAAGATGAGTCGTCGACTTCTTATGCAGGAATGAAAGCCCTTGTGACAGAGGAACTCAAGTCATACTTTCGTCCTGAGTTGCTAAACAGGATAGATGAGATAGTCGTGTTCCAACCCCTTCAAAAGGCTCAGGTTAGTCTCGATGTTTCCTTTTCTTTTCGAAAAACTACTTTACAAAAACCTCTCACCTTCATCAAGTATCATGATTTACATTCTGAACTTTCAATCTCAAACTTAGATAGATTACATGAAGTTATTACAATCTACCTGTATTGATTCTTTTGCAAGTCAACATTTCCCCTCTCATGTGTTTGAAATGATTTTTCAAATAAGACAATGTATTACAATATGGTTTCACATTGAAATATCAATCAAAACCAATTTGAAGTAACTCGTGAGATTAAAGTTGCAGATGGACCGTAATCTTGATAGAGAATTGGAACATTTCATACTCAAAAACTTTGATTGTAACTTTGAATTTGAATCAGAATGTAGTATCTTAGATTCATTTTCAACGTCATATTGGCACACTGATTGAGTAACTGGTTTGTATAATTTCATATCAGATGCTTGAAATCCTAAATCTGATGCTTCAAGAGATAAAGGAGAGGCTCATATCGCTTGGGATCGGTTTGGAGTTATCGGAATCTGTGAAGGATCTCATATGTCAAGTAGGTTATGACCAAGCTTATGGTGCCAGGCCTCTTAGGAGGGCAGTTACCATGATGGTTGAAGACCCCTTGAGTGAGGCATTCCTCTTTGGAGATCCAAAGCCTGGTAATACTCTTGTAATAGATCTGGATTCTACAGGGAATCCCATTGTCAAAAACCAATCCAATACTGCATTTCCAATTGTATAGAAAAAGAAAACATTGTAACTAAGTTTACTAATGATTTACCAGTCGAATTGTATATTTGTGTATATGTAATGTAACTCGGTCGATATTTCGACGAATATTCTTTGAAGATGTTATACACCTAACGAAAGATAAATGTATTTTGGCTCGATATAGCATGTAAAAGCAATTTCCTTCGCAACTTCTTTGTGATTCTTAAGTTGTATGATGGGAAAAGAAATAGATTTCCAGATAATGTTTTGGGTGATTTTAGTCTCTCGCGTTGTCTTTTCTAGATACATATAGACTTTTTGATACTCGTATATTTAAAAAGTTCATTTTGATCGGTGTACTTCTCAACTTTAGTTTATCTTAGTCTATGTACTTTTAAAAAATTACTGTTTCGATATTTATTAGTAAAATTTTAATATAAATTTTATACATAGTTTTAATATAAAGTTATGATTACACTCCAAAGAATATATTAAATATAATGTCATGTTGAAATTGTGACAGAAAAATAAAACTAAACGGTCAAAATGGTCACGTTTTAAAAATACTAATATCAAAATTAACATTTTGAAAGTATAAGGACTAAAATAAACTAATGTTAAAATACAGAAACCAAAATATTAAAAGGTACAAAAGTTGATATTACCGGACCAAAATAGTATTTTAACCATATAGATACCGTTTCTATTTGAACTATATATATACACTTCTACTAATTAACTATTGATGGAGCCATGAGAGATTTAATTGGGACTTGGGCATTAGAAGAAACTTTTTTTATGGAGGGATTAAAAGTTAGACCTATGTTAAGAAAAATGAATGAAAATGAGGGTTTCGTAGTTGCAGTTTTCTTAATAATCGTTGGATGTAGATTTAAAATTCTTAATAATTATTGATACACATTTAAAACATATTTTGTATTTTCTCTTTCATACATATTTAAAATACAAAATTGAAGATGCCTCTTATTAAACCGTTTTTTTAATACAATAAGTGGGGTGAAGATTTGAACTTACGACCACTTAAACCAATTGAACGATGTTTATGTTAGTTTATTAAACCAAATGTATCTTTTAAAAATAGTTGTCTTTAAAATTTAATTATATTTGAACTTGTAATAATTATAATATAATAAATTTTGATATTAACAACTGGACAAATAATTTTTTTAACCCAATAATTTTGAGATTTAAACTCATCATGTATTGGTATAGATATGTATCAATTATAGCAGGTTCGTGTAACGACGAACAAATAAATTTTGTTGGAAGATCCACTGGATTTATAATTTTAACTAGCACATATATAAACCTGCATGAGGGAAGTAAACTATGAACTGACGATTTATTGAAAAAATATATATGAACTGACGAAGCACATGGAAACTTTTCATTAGGCCTCTTTCTGGAAGGGAGATTGCCGATAAAACAGAGCATGGATGGCAATTGAAGAACGAACAACAAGATTTCAGCGGAATTTGTTTAACCGAGAATCCCGTGTGTTCCTTTTTCTTTGATTTTGAAATCTAGGTCAAGTAAATCCTCAATCTTCAATCCTCGATCGCTTGTTCCTTGTTGCAATCGATCATGGCGTCGTCTGGCAGCGGATTGACATTCAAGCTGCACCCTCTTGTGATTGTGAACATTTCCGATCACTACACCAGGGTTAAATCTCAAACAAATCCTCCATCCTTGACCAGCTCTGCCCCATCCCCTTGCGCCCTGAGTAATGGCGCCGATTCAGCCGATTCTGCCGACCCGTCCACTTCTCCTTCCGCACCTAGGGTTTACGGTTGTGTTGTAGGCGTCCAGAGGGGCCGCACGGTTGAGATCTTCAACAGCTTCGAGCTTCTTTATGACCCCAAAACTCATTCGCTGGACCGCACCTTCCTTGAGAAGAAGCAAGAGCTCTGTTAGTGATTCCAATCGTTTATTTCGCTTTTTGATTAGTATTGATTTTGTTGTTAACGATGATCGAGTTCACGCTCTTGTTCGGTGCAGATAAGAAAGTTTTTCCCCATTTCTACATTTTGGGCTGGTATTCTACTGGGAGTGATGCCATGGAGTCTGACATGCATATCCATAAGGCTGTAAGTTACCATTTGAACCAATGTATTACTATTTTGGCACAGAGTTGTTTACGAACATGCTTTTCACATTCTCAAGTATACGGCGCTAATTGAAATTTTAATCAAACTCTTGATTCTTAAAGCATTTTATTTGCATTCCTGAGAGTTGAAAGTTATCCTATCGTTTCATGATTATCTCGCTACTTCTTCCCTCCCTCCTGCGTATGTATTTATATGTGTGTGAACCACCACAACCATTTAGACGACAACAATACTTCTACCCCCAAATTTCCATTCCTCAGACCAACCTCCACACATGTTTTGGACGTAGAATTCCGATGAACTAATTGCTATCTACCTTCTACCTCAACATCTTCCCTCAAAAAGACTATTCAGACCAACTTCTCCTCGTTCAACCCTAGTAGCCTGAAAAGAGGTATAAAGTACGAAATCACTCGACATGTACTGGATCAAAGAAAAAGGCTTTCCTCTAATACGAGGGCCTTTTCAAAACTTTATCAGCTAGTGGGTCCTAGAATGAATAAAATCTAGGGTTATGACCTAAAGGCATGGCCAAATATACCACAAGAAAAGAAGCAACCTCGCAACCAATATATTAACCCACCTCTTTAGCTTTATGTCATTGCACTTGACAAATGCTTTGGTACGCTGCTCCCTATTTATATGAAGCCCCAACATAACTCAAAAAAGTATGCAAGATCTTTGTTAGGTTACTGAACAACTCCTCACCCCTTAATTAAAATTAAAAAAAAAAAAAAAAGAATCATTGGTGAATGTAAGTGAGAAAGATGTACATAATTCGTTTCGATTTTAAAACCCTCAATGTGGTCTTACTTCGTTCCTCTCGACATTAATGGCCTGATAACATACACCACAGCAATAAATAAGAAGGGAGAAAGAGAACCTAAGTTCACTTCATCATAGGCTTTTTCAAAGTAATAGAAACAATACATTCCTTCTTCCTAATTCAGCCTAATTACGACTTATTCCAAGATTTGTCTTGTTTCCAGTTTCTTAAATATAGATTTTACTAGTTGATTTTTTTCCAGTCTTTAGAGTTCGGAAATTGATTAACTAGAGTTCAGAATATGTCACATTTTTTTTTGGTCTTTTTTTTTTTATTCTAGGTGCAATATTGAATATTATGAAATGATAGAAAAAAAATTTTAAGGCCAAGCTTGACTTTCCATTTATTTCTGGACCTAGTTTGCTATCTGCCTTTGCCTTGGTATACTTCTGCAAAACTTTGGGTGAACATACCTGTTCTCTGATTGATGCCAATTGAAGGTTCTTTGCAATCTTCCTGGCCTGTATCTTTCAATAATGAATTTAATTTAGTGGTAGAAAAAGAGAGAATATATAGTTTGATAGATGTAATTTTAACTTTTTTCCTGGATGGGAATTAGAATATTATAATGGATATAATTGTACTTCAGTTAATTTTGATGAGTGTTCTGATTTAACAGTTGATGGATATCAATGAAAGCCCTGTCTATGTTCTTCTCAATCCTTCAATTAATCATGCTCAAAAGGATCTCCCAGTTACTATTTACGAGAGTGGTAATATGTTATGTTTATTTTATTCTTATTTACATGGTTTTTGTCTGCAGTACTTCATTTTTCTCGTTATATTAGTGGCTAAGAAGCACGGACACGGACACGATAGGACACGGCGTTACGTCAATTTCTAAAAAACTAGGACACAGACACGCTGGGGATACGTTATTTATTTATTATTTTTTTAGGATAGAGGTAAATTTAACATAAAAATGCTAAATATACTTCGCTAAAAAACATAAATGTCAAGTAAATTTATTGGGTTGAAGATGTACCCACTAAAAAGCATAAAAATAGTAAATGTAATCCACCAAAAAAAATCCTAGAGAAGGATTTGAATTTGATTATTGGGTCGAAGTTGTCATCCTAATTTAGTAAAACATATTCTACTCCAGTTTAATTCATATGAAATTAGGGAAAAAAGGAAGTAATTCATATGAAATTAGGGAAAAAAGGAAGTAAGAATAGAGCTTATTTAATTTAACTCACACAAACAGAAGGGTGGGTCACTAGGTAGCATTTTAGGGTTTTTTTTTGTAGTTTAAGTTTTTGAGATTTCAGCCAAACTTCTTGAACTTCCAAAATTGGGCTAAGGAAACAATATTTTTTTATCTGACGTGTCCCTCCCGTGTCCAAAACGTGTCCCCACGTGTTTGAAATTAAAATAAAAAATTTAATATTCAGACACTTTAAATTGCGTGTCGGACACGTGTCCGGACGTATCCGTGTCCGACACAGACACTCCTCCTTTTTTGCCGTGTCCGTGTTTTATAGATTAGTGGTGTTACCCATTAACATTTGTGGTAATATGATCATCCATGACTTCCTTAGCGGTGTATGTAGTTTGGTTTTCATTTACTTAGGGAGCGTCAACTGATTCTGAAGCTTTGGTGAATTATTTTAAGAAAATTTTTTTTGGCATTACATTTTGGGAAGCATCAAGAAGCTAATAGCTCTTCTCTTGGATGGCCACAAGTTCGAGGACAAGAATAAAGTTCTTGGCTGTGGAGTTTTTGTCTATTCTGTGGGAAGTCTTGATGGGAAGAAGTTGAAGAATATTCCAAGGTTTAGAGAAATACTAGAAGGATGTTTGGATCTCATTATGTTTTGTAGCTTCCTCTTGGAGTCCTTCGGTTTTTGTGAGGCTTTGCCCCTTTTCTACTTTTATCAATGAAGTTAGTTTCAATTAAAATTTATAAACATTGAACTTCTCATTAAATAGGACTTTCGAAGGATGCCTCAATTATGCTTGGCTTTCTTGGAGTTTAGGATGCCTCAAATAGCTTTTTGAATGCATAATCTTTCAAACATTTGCATCTATTTCTCAATTTAGAGATCCATATAGTAAATTTCACTGGTAGAAGAAAATTATCATGTGGCATGTCACAAAGGTGTGCCCAGTCATGTGGCATTTAATGTCTAAATTGATTGTCTGTTAAATAGATTTTGACATAGAGGGGATGGGTACAGAATATTCAAAGTTGAAGTTTTAAAGTTAGGTCTCTTAGAAAAGCTTTTTTGACCAAATGCCTCCAGGGTTATTATCATGGGCTGACCTAAGTGACGATAGTTTTTATTTTTGTGAACCCTAATGAAAATTACTTGTCTTTATTTTAATTCCTACATTAGACATGAATGTTAATTTATTTCATTAACAACATACTTATTGGCACTTTATTCCAATGTAGAATTTCCACTAGAAAAATTTTGTTTGAATGACGGTTGTAACTTCTTTTTTTGTATGTGGGGTTTCTGCCACTATAGAGCTACATGTGATAGAAGGCATTCCTCAGCTAATTTTTGTTCGATCAAGTTACACTATAGAGGTTTGTTTTTACTCCTTCGATCATTGAGTCCTTCAAACTTGTTGCAATTCTGGTTGTTCAGTTTCTCTCTGCATTTTTCTGTTCTTTATCTTCAAAGACAGTAGAAGCTGAGCGAATTTCCGTTGATCACGTTGCACATTTGAAACCATCTGATGGAGGCTCTGCTGCTACTCAATGTGAGTGATCCCGTGCGTCTCTATTTATTTTGATATGAGACTAAGCCTTTGTTAGTACTTACTGCCAGCCTGCCAGGAAGAAGAATATTATGTTTTGATATGTTAATAATGAGAGAAATTTGGTCTTAAATGCAGTGGCCGCTCACCTTGCGGGTATTCACAGTGCCATCAAAATGCTGAACAGCAGGATCAGGATACTTCATAGTTATCTTCTGGCAATGCAAAATGGTATTTGCAATTCTTTTATATGCATAAATATGTTTATGATGAAAAAGTTGAGAGTATAAAATCAGGGTGGATATTCCTTTTTTTCCTGTTGTTTTGGTCGGTCTCTATTCTGGATTAATGATCATTCATTAGTTTTAGTGGCTTCTCATAAAAGGTAAACATGACTGCTGCTTTTATTGGCTTATGAAAGCTTGTGGATACTTCATGGAATACTAGTGATTAAATGGCTCAATTTGAGATTAGTGTTTTTCATTTTTGTTTTTCTTCGAATCAGGTGATATTCCCTTGGAGAATTCTCTACTAAGACAAGTGTCAAGTTTACTCAGAAGATTACCAGTTACTGAATCAGGAAAGTTTCAAGATGATTTCTTGATGGTGAGTGCTCTCGCATGCCTCATTTCCCTGGCCCTGGTTTTTCCTCCACTTACAAACTTGCACATTTGCACCACAAATTTAGACATTAAGGGCCTGTTTGATAATATTTTTGTTTCTTGTTTCCAATTCTATTGAGAAACAAGCATTTGACAGCTATTTATGTTTTTTGTTTCTCGTTTTTTAGAAACGTTCTCAAAATTGTATAGAAATTTAGAAACAATAAAATCAAATTTTTGTTTCTTGTTCCTATTTTCCAATTTTTTCCAAGACATAAATGAAAATATTGTTTTATCATTCTTTGACTAATAAAGAACAAGAAATTCGAAATAGTTACTAAAATGCAATTATGTTTTTCTTTATTAAAAAAGAGAAAAAAAAAAGGAACGTTACCAAGTGGGCCTTAAGTTGATTTCATGATTAGTTATTCTTACTTCCATGATGTCCCTTCTTTCAGGAATATAATGACACGTTGTTGATTTCGTACCTTGCAATGTCCACTAATTGCTCAAGGTATGATATTTCTGGTCTTATGTATATTGTGTTGTGCTGTTTATGAAAAGAATTTCTTCTATAAATTAGATAAAATTATACATCTTTAGATGTGGATGAAAATAAATGGCTGCTAACTAGATTACGAGTGCAAACTCACCGTTACATATGATCTAAAAAATAGAATCAGTACACAGGCAATGCCAAGTGCGTCTTAGATAAAATATATTTTTAGAGCAAGTATTTGTATACACTACTACGTATTTTGATTCTTTCAAACTTTAACTCTAACTATATGATGTAAGATTTAAGCATATTTTTTTCATTCTGAAAATTAATTTTTCCTAAGGACGTTTCATTTTTCACCAACAAAACAATAATTGGTTTCACAAACAAAAGGCTCTTATCTCAAAACCATTTCCCACATTTTTACACATCACTTCATTGGTCTTATTAAGTGAATTTTTTAGTTACCATAACGTTTTGTATTTTCTTTTTAAAAATTATTTCTTAGTCCCATAATGTAAATTTGTAAGTCAGATTGAAGATTTATCAGTTATCTTATCTCCATTTTATATATTTTCTTCATATCTTTACTAAACGTGTCCCACACATATTCCAAATATGTGTGAATTTGGAAAGTAAAAGGTTACGCTCTAGATTGTGTATTAAGTGTATCTGTATAGAATGAATGTCAAATATTGATACACGCTTCTCAAAATTGAGGCATTATGTAGGTATGATCTTGTTCATAAAATTTGTCCATACGAGCGGTGCATGTAGGGTGTAGGGTATGATTTTGCAGATATGAATGCCATACATTTATTTCTTCCGACAAATATTTGCTTTTTACATTTAGAAACTCAAAACTCCTTTCTAGTGAAATAAAGATAAAAGACTATGATCTGATCTTCTACTAATGAATTTAAGAGTCAGCAATCTTAATATTGGCCAATTTCAAAATACCTGGTTGTAGATAAAGTTAATTATTCTACCAGTAGTTAATGAACATTCTAATTCTAGAATTTGAGGATTTGTTTCGGGCATGGCAATAAATGAGAATGCCAAGCATTAGCTGATACTTGATCCTGATAGTGTCGTGATCCTGTGCCTGTCCTGTCCAAAACATAAATATTTGTTTATCTCTTGGCATGATATTTTTTTCCACCTCTTCTCCCCTCACACAAAACACTATTCTTGCAGTATAATGAACGAGCTGATCGAAAAATTCAACACTGCATATGATCGGCATGGTCGAAGAGGTGGCCGAACGGTTTTTATATGAAAGCCCCTTGCAGGCCAGGCACCAACTGTATTACTGAAAGCCAGGTACTTTGATGATAATTCTAGGATTTGAGTGGTAACTCAGAAAGAGGATGATGATATAGGAAATGCCTTTTTTTCCCTTTTTTTTGTGCTCTTGATTCCTATATGTGGATGTTGTAGAAGTGAAAATGGTTTGAACATGCCTGAATTCCCTCCCCCTCCTCCCCTACAGAAGCATCTATTTTCCACCTATGGACAGCTTAGAAATAGAGGATGCAGTATGTAATTTGAGAGAGATTTATGGGGAAGCCTTCCTAGAAAGGGTAGGCCCACATGAGTGGACTTTTGGGTCCTTCCATATGCTTCCATTTGATGCTCTTTTTCCAGTTTTAAGATGCCTATTATTCTCCAGCTAGATAGTAGATTTTATGGTGAAGTACTAGAATATGCCTAAATTACCCTCAGATGGTTTGATGGTTGTAATGAATGTAATCAATCTCCCTCTAAAAGGGTGAGTTCGAATATTAAAAAAAAAAGCCTAAGAATTAACATCGTCAAATGGCTTATAGGAAATGAGAAGTTAGAAGAGGTATTGAATGTTGTGCGCACGTGAGCAGATAATGCAATATCTTCGGAATGCTATGGTGTGTTTCTTGTCACCAAATGTTGTAGGGTCTTGTTCCATGAGATCAGTCGAGATGTGTACAAACTAGTTCGAATGCTCACGGATATTGAAAAAAAAAAAGATAGATTATGACTAAATTAGGTGGTGGTTGTCTGAAAACGCTAATAATAAAATGAGGTAGAATTTATGTTTAACTTTTCTAAACTCACTCGCTAGTCCATTTCTATAAAGTGTGGACTTCAGTGAAGTTGAAAGTGTTGAAAGTTTGTCAAGGACGGTTTGATAATATTTCCTTGTTTCCATAAAGAAAAATAGAATTGCATGGCCTTCCATACCTATGTTTGAGGAATGATAAAACAATATTTTATTATATTTTGGAACAAATTGAAATGGAAACAAGGAAAAAAAACAAGAAACTTATTTTTGTTGTTTTGCAAAATTTTATACAAATTTGAGACTTTTCTCTGAAAATATTAGAAATAAGAAATATAAATAGTTGTCAAATACTTAAATTTATTAGTTTCAATAAAATTGGAAATGTACATAAATCTCAATAACTGAGTTTGTGTTGCTTTGTCAAAAGAAATTAATTTAACAGGGCACCAAGTCTTTCGTTACAAAATACAGAAGTGGCTAAAATACATTGCTGCCTCTAATGAACAAGTGGATTATCAATTTTGTTTCCATTCTTTAAAAAAATTTCAATTTAGTTCCGTTATGTATTCAGTTATTTCAATTTAGTTCCTTTGTGTATTCAGTTATTTCAGTAAAGTTCTTATTGTTAATAAAGGTTTAAAAATATGGACAATTTGAAAAGTTAATTTAATGGTGTGATTAAGTGCAATATAATAGCATATTTAATGGATTTGTTTTCCACTATTATTCAAGTTATGGTTACATAACGAGTCACGTACAAATGAGCATATCCAATTCACTAGATTAAATAAGGAAATTTACAACTTAATTAACAAAATATATGTTAGCGTCATTTTATCGTTTATGGACAATAAAAACTCAATCAAAAAAATCAACACATAAAGAATGAAATTAAAACATCTAAAACATCGAAGAAAGACGGGTCGAAAATGGTCGGTTAGGTTGCTCCAACCAAGAAAGGCATGAGTGGAGCACTAAGAAAAAGAAAGTGTTATTACCGTATGAAATGAAGTTGCAACTAACATGCTGAGATCAACCACTTGAAGAATGTGGAGACTTTCTTTCTCCGTTCTCCACGTGCAACTAAAGTCTTAGATCCCTTTCAAAGTTGTAAAACCATTATTTCGATTTATTTTTTTCACTCATGAAACACATCTTTGGAAGAAAGAATCTATACATTTCACCATATTTTGCACCACGATTCAATCAAACAACATTTCTAAAGTAAGTTTTTGTACATTATCATGATTTACGAAATTTTTTAATTCAACCACATCCGGGAGTAAGAATTTGAATCTCCAATCTTTTCGTCAAAGATATATATCCTAACAATCTCCTGTCCACTATCATGATCTATGAAATTGCCATCCATCATGACACCCAACTTCACAACCTTCCAAACATAATGTCAACCAAGGTCGTTTGGAACAAAACTCAATAAAATTAGCATCTCCAACACTACTAAAACGAGTGTGGCCAATCCCAAGCCATTGTAAACCAGGAAATAGAGACCCTCTAAATGATCCACATGCACCACTTGATAGACCAATGCAATTAAAAAGATCAAGCCTACGAAGTAACTTACCTTCACCTTGGACTTGTTTCTTCATAGCCAAAGCTTCCACCGAAGAATTGGTCACATGGAAGCAAGATCTGATGCATAACTCAGTTATCCCGACACCGATGGATGCAATCGTTCGAATTGCTCTATCGGTTATCCCTGAAATTTGTCCAAGATCCAATGCAGACAACGTTTTGCTAACTGTCCCGGCACCATGAAATAGTCGGTAGATTCCTTCGTCGGTTACTCTTTTACAGCTTCGAAGAGACAACCGTGCAATGGGTGAACTCCCCTGGCCAAGAATGGATAAGCCGTAGTCGGTTATATCGGTTGCAGTTAGGTTCAATGATGATAAATGGTGCAAACTGGAAATGGGATCAAGGCAGGAATCTGATATGCTCTTGCAGCCACATAGATCTAGGACTTCCAAGCGCGTAGAGCAGGCCAACTGCTTCACGGATTCACAGGTTATGAGACTACATGATAACAATCTCAGCTCTGTAATGGGGCATCCGATACCATCAAAACCGTCGAATGCCAGGTCCGACAAATGCAATGCATTACGAACTTCAAATTTTTGCAACTTATGGCATGAGTGTAAGATCGACGCAAATCCTGCATCACTCACTTTAGAGAATCCACAGAGTCTCACTGATTCAAGACCTTTGCAACCCTCAGACAGGAGAAACATGCCCATGTCATTCAACTTTCTGAAAGAAACTTGGTGGTTCTGCCTACTGCGAATAATAGATAGCGATACCAGATTACGACAAGTACTCAATGAATGAAGTCCTCTATTGGTCAAATCACGGTGCACGAGTAGTTCCCTGTTCGGCATGTCTTCTAGGTGAAGCTCAACCAAAAAAGGAAGAGAGTCGACAATGGTTATAACTAACTCATCAGAAATAACATCCAAGGTAAGTGACAAGCATTGCAACATTACTCCTGGAGATAATGGAGGAGGTGCAAGGTTTTTGGAATAGGTGGTGATTAAAGAGTTCTCAGAATCTCTTAGTTTGTTCATGATGCAAATTGCATCTTGATGAAGCAGTGATTTCAACTTCAGAGTTTTGGTGGTTTTGGGGAGACATGCTTCCACAGCACTAAAAGAATTAGCCGCAATATCTGCGGCTCCACGAATCTTCAGGGAGATAGACTACCACAAACAAAAGGAACACCTTATATGATTATAATATCGAAAAGGCAAACCGCAGGATGAAAAATTGTTAAGAAGGGATAAATTAAACCAGGGGAATAAATTGCCATATCAACTTACATCCAAGAACAAGCATCTTGTGAGCATTTCAGCCAGGTTTCTATTGAATACTTCGGGAGAATCTTGAGCTGCGAATTGAAGTACAAGCACCCTGACATTTTTTTTGGGTAAGAAACAAATATTCGTCGATGATATGAAATATACAAAAGAATCTAAAAAACGGAAATTACACAAGCAAACATAGTAACATGATATGAATAAATTGAAAAAACACGTAATCAGGACCAAAGCATTCCAACTGAGTATATGCATTATATTCTACTCAAAAGCCACCAGATGGTTTCAATGGCAGCAAGATAAGGGCTCCACAGGACACAAATTGAAAGGTGAAATGTGAAGATTCTATTAGACACAAAATTCAATTTTCTAATAGATGCATGAATTTTACAAAATGCCGAATCGGTCAGAAACTTAATATTAGGCATAGACATAAAAGTGGAATTGACCATTTTAAAGTTCAAAATCTTATTAGACATTTTCAAAGTTTAGGACCTACTGGCTACTAGGTATAAAATTAAAAATTTAGGCACCTAGTACCTACATTTTAAAATTCAGCTACCTACTAAAAACAACTTTAAAAGTTTGTTAACTAAACGTGTAATTTAGAGAAAAAAAAATCAAATAACAAATGAGAGATAGGACCAACATGAGCATAGGTCAGCAAGCATCTCAAGGATAGAGGTTGAAATCCCCACACTCATCTCATTGTTCTAAACAAAGAGAGAGATGGGAGAGGGGAGTTATCAGTAGATGAACAAATAATCGAAGAAAAAATGCAGAATCTCAACAAAACAAGAAAAAATACTTCGGGAGAATCTTGAGCTGCCAATTCAAGCACAAGCACCCTAACATTTTTTTTTTTTTGTAAGACGTTAATATTTCAGTCACGGTATGAAATATACAAAAGATCCCCAAAAAAAAAAACTGGATTACACAAGCACTGAAGCACTCTAACATAGTAACATGATATGAATAAATTGGTAATAATAAACAGGATCAAAACATTCGAATGAGTTCATTTTATTCTACCCAAAAGCCCCCGTATGGTTTCCATGGCAGCAAGGTAAAGGCTCCATTGGACACAAAATTGAAAGGTAAAGGTTCTATTAAATTTTGTATCTATAGATGCGTGAATTTTAAAAGATGTCGAATCGGTCAGAACCCTATTAAATAGGTAATTGAAAGTCTAGGGACGACATGTTAGACGTAAAAGTAAAAGTTAAAAACTTATGAGACCCTTTTAAAGTTTAGAGACTTATTAGACCTAAAATGAAAGTTAATAGACTTATTAGACATTTTTAAACGTCATAGCCTACTATATATAAAATTAAAAGTTTAGACACCATATTAAAATTCAGTGACCTATTAAATACCAACCTTAAAAGTTTGTTAACTAAAGATGTAATTTTAAACAAAAATCAAATAACAAATGAGAGATAGGACCAACATGAGCATAGTTCAGCTAGCATCTTAAAGTTGGAGGTTGAAATCCCACACCCATTTCATTGTACTAAATAAAGAGAGAGATGGGGAGGGGAGTAATCAGTAGATGAACAAATAATGGAAGAAATGAATGCAGAATCTCAACAAAATAAGAAAAGGAGTCATTCACAACTTCACATTATGAAATACGAAGATATCCAATATTTTCACCTCAGATTGGGGCAAAGTTGGCCCACAGCAGCAAGGAACTTATAAGAGAGTAAAGAGCAGCAAACCAAGTTGAGCTCGAGGAGATTAGGGCCAAGAAAACCAACGAGTGAAGAATCATCAAGGCGGAGGCAATTGACAGTCAGACTTCTCATTCCCATGCCTCGGCACCGACCAATTACGCCACTCTTCACAGTCCGGGGATCGGGAGAGAATGCCTGCGTTTCAAAATTTCTGCATCAAAACGCCTCGCCATGATTGAGTAGCTACTGCTGAGACTGAGAGAGAAGAGAAAGAAAACAAAGACATGAAAACGTACGATTGGGAGATGGAGAGTGGAGAGGAGAGGGAGGGCCTCGACGGCGGCGGATTGTAGGGTTTTACTGACGCATGCGACTGAGCAGAGAGATTCGAGGTCCAGATTCAACAGGATCTCCATTAGAATGCTGTGTGGAATGCTCTGCAAAACCATTTTCTTCGTCGGGATGAACCTTTTTTTGGTTGTGTGTTCTACCGCCAATTCTAAGCTTGCTTTGGCATTATTCTAAAACATGTTTGGTAATAACTTCATGTTTCCGCTTCTCTAAAATTTTAAACGAAAAGAAATCATGTTTATGTGAAATTTAACTTTTTAATTAATTCAATATTATATTTATTTTTAAATATTAAGTTATGTATTTCATAAGTCAAAGAATAATAAAATAATGCTCTTATTTATTTATGTTGGAGGGAAAAAAAATAGAAATAGAAAAAAAAAACTTGATTTGATTATTTCTAAAATTTCAACCTAATTTAGTAAATGTATCTTAAAAATGGGAGAAATAGAATAGTTAACCCAACACTTATATTTTTTAAAAATTGAAAATGAGAAAAAAGAAATGAAAATGTTACCAAATATGTCTTAAATAATCATTTTATTTGACACGACCCAACCATGACACCTTATCCCACCTAGGATGTGACGTGCCGACAACATATTCAAGCAATCTTTCAAAAACCATTGCCAACTAACATGAACTCTACTCACGTTTGGAAATCAAAAGATGGCTAACAAAATTTTGTCTATAAGAATAATAATGAATAATGAAAAAAAAATTGGTAAAGTACCCGCTGAACACCAGATAAAACACACCTCAAAGGTATATACATATTTAGGTATGTACACTTCAAAACACTTAATTTCCAAACTACCACAAGTGTGCCTCACGACACACCAACCAAGTTCTAATTAAAAAGAAATCTTAAAAGAAAGCGTCACGTCACAAAAAATACTACAGTATGTCTATGGCTTGGTTTATAATTCACCATAATTTTCAAAATTTTGATAACATCATTGAATATATGCTAGCCAAAATTAGTTACAAAAAATTTTGTCATGCAACCATGAGAAACTCACAGAGACAAGATGAGCCAATTTCCTTTTTGAAAACCGTTATGATGGGGCGTTTCTGGACATGTCATCTATCATAAAATGTCATTATCATTGTAGTAACTGAAGAAATATTCCGACTATATTCTCTACCATTGTCACTTTGAAGACATTTAATCTTCTTCCCAAATTCTTTTGCTACGATAACTCTAAATGTAGTGACTTTGTTAATGTTTCATTCTTTCTCTTTAGGAATTTCATTCTAAGTGTACCTTAAAAAATCATCTACTAATACCATGGTATAGCGACACTCGTTGAAACTTGGTGTTTTTGTTGGTCCCATTAGATATGTATGGATAAATTCAAGCATGGAAGATTTACATTTGATGACTTCGAGAACGGAAGACGATGTGACTTGCAAAATTAACACATTTGACAAATTACATCTTCATGAACATTTCGCAAAGATGGCATACCATCCACCAAATTCTTCTTGGAAATCTTTTGCAACAGCCTAAATGATCCAACAAAGCATGCCAAATTTTACAATTTTAGTCTAGCTAGTCTTCTTTACACGAGGCATCTCCTGCTTCATGACAAATAAGGAATATTTCTTCTCATTAGAGGTAATAACATCAGTAGATATATTTTTCATATTATTAATAATTTTTGGCCCAAATAAAACCTATTTTTCAAAATATGTAATTTGAGGAAAAAAATTAAATTTCTCTTCAAACCTAGAGTATAGAAGGCGTCATTCAACTTTCGCTACTAGAATGTTAGTTTTTCGTGACACTCATGAATAGTGAAATACTGTTCAAAGATAAAAAAAAAAACTTCACGAAAGGAAAAAAGCGGATTTCTGGAGGGAAAAAACGGAGGTTTTCAAAATTTTGACATTTTGTGACGGAGGTTTTAAAAAACTTTTTGTGACGTTTTTTAAACGTCACAAAAAGTGAGGTGCATTTTTTTCGGGAAATGACGGAATGTTCTGGATTTTTTACCTTTCGTGACATTTCTTCTAACCGTCACCAAAAAGTAGAAATTACGTATGTTTTTTGTGACGTTTAATAAGCAACACGAAAAAGACACAGTGCGTTTTTTGCTGGAAAAGACGAAGTACTTCGGATTTCTGGCTTTTCTTGACGTTAAAAAAACATCGCAAAAGCTTAGATATTGTGACTTTTAAGAATTGTCACAAAAAGTTAAGGTCAATATTTCTTTTGGCTTTTCATAACGTTTATAAAATGTCGTGAAAAGTAGGAAAATTACAAATTAACAAAAAAAAATCTTTTAAAAATGCATAAATCACAAATTAAACCCACGACTAAATATTAGAACTAGAACTTGAAGCCAACCAATCAACAAAGCTTTTTTGCGACTAAGACTTACTTTCTAAATATATTAATAGAAATTCAATTTAGGTAAATAATGTTAAAAAAAAAAAGAAACAAAACAAAAATCAAACCTTCCTCTTTTCACGTGTGCCGCCACCCCCCATCTTCTCTTCCTCTTCGTAATCTCTCCTCTCTCTTCCATTTTTCCGTCCAATCTCACCCACTCTTCGGCAATCTCAGACCTCCGGGGGTAGGACATGAAACACGAGCGGCGCGAGTAGAGGCGGCATATCATTCCAGTGGCAGTCGACGGTAGTGCAACCCAAGAACCAGCAGTGTTTCCTTCGATTTCCAGCTTGCAGTGTTCGTTTTTTGCAACGACAACCTGTTCTTCGGTGAGTTGCGAGCACAGCCGAACAATTTCGCTTCAAATCCGACAAACTTGGAGAAGCACAACGACTGCACCTATGACAAACGACGATACGCGGCTTAGGAACGTTAGGTTTCTTGGTTGTAAGTAGCTCTTACTTGGAAATATTTGTTTTATGTTGATATGAATCCATTGTTGCTGGTTTCACTGCAAGAGATTTCACCATTGATAGCTTCTTGATATAGCGTTTAAAAAAATGGGCTATGAAATGAAAAGACGGACAAATCTAGTTAAAAAACAAATAGCCGCGCGTGACTGAAAATTTGAAATTCCGCCTGAAAAATTTAGCGTCACCTCTCTACCCCACACAATTTGCAAAATCGTGAAAGCCCAAATCCCTTTTTTTTCTCCTTTCCTCTCATTTCTCTTCTCTCTTTCCCGTTAATGTTCACTTCTCGCTTCTCTCTCTCTCGTTTCTCTATGAAGCCTTCGCCTCTCCATATGTGCCGCTCGGCTTTGCCGCTCAGTTCGTTTTATCGCGCTTATCGTTTCTGCCTTTACTCATCTTCGCCTCCACTTGTCCAGCCATTTTTGCACCCTATTAGAAGAGTCACTGTAGACCCAATCTCGTTGGCGCCAGTTTTTACCGAAGGACCTGCTACTGGGAGTCCAATATTTCGTTAAGTTTCCCCGCTCTCAACTTCTATTTTTCTTTTTCGTTCTTCCTTTAAAACAAATCAAACCAAAGCCCTCAACAAAATCTCTCTCCCTCTCTTTCTCTTTTTCGATCTCCTGCGATTTTTTGTTCCCCAAAACCCACCTCTACTCGTACAACTCTACAACCAATTGATTTTAATTAATTCTTTTCGTTTTATTTGTTCCACTTGCTTGAATACATCAATGCAACTCACTCCTCACTTTGAATCTTCTATTTTCATTGCAATCTATTTCATGGAGTTGATTTTCTCTAATCTGGTTACAGTTAAAAAACCCTTGAGAGTTGGATCTAAGAATMTTGCTAACGAACAAGATCCATAGAATTAAATCTCAAAAACTCCGAAAACAAGTATGGAATCAACCCAAAGAAAAGTTTAAGAACAGATTACCTTGATGATCAATATCAAGAGTAGAGAAAACTCGTTTCTAAACTTGTGATTTGAATCACTCCATAAAAAATTGCACAAGAAATGGGAGATAAAGCTCTCAACCAAACTATTGAGAAAATTTACTTTTCATTAAACTTCCAATTGTGTTTACAACAAGACATCTCAAGACTATATAATAGTCATCATAGCAAGCCATATGAAAAGTCTTAAGCAAATGAAAAGACTTGTAACTTACAAGAAATGAAAAGACTTGTCAATGAAAAGACATAACTTACCAAAAATGAAAATGCTTGCAAATGAAAAGACATAACTTCAATAAATGGAAAGACAAGCAAATGAAAAGGTTAAGAACGTGGAAAGCCAACCAAAATAAGTGTAATCCCGTCCATAATGAGGGATGCGAGTGTTTGACTTGGTTTTTGAATTGAATGAGTTGACTTTGACTTGTCTTGATGGAGTTGACTTTGACCTTGATCAAGTTGACTTTAACTTACCTTAAAAACACTTAGAAATATGAATTGTTGAAGTTTGCTAGCTCTTGATCTTGTACTCAGTCAATGAGGCATGACAAAGGGAGTTCCTTGATTCATATCACATGGCTTAGGGGAGCTTGGGTGCTCCCATTTAAGTTGATCTTGTCCTTCATTTTTATATGCTGCTTTGGAGAACTTCACTCTATAATTCTTTATATATGCCAAGTTTTACCACACCTATTGCGCTCAATAGGGTTGTTATTTTGGGGTCAAAAACTTTTTTCTGTACAACCTCTTTTCACTATTTTTATTCCATGCATATGTATTTCTCTTGTAATGTTACCCCTTTGAGAAGATAGAATTCGTATATGAACTCTTAGTCATTTGCTTTGCTAAGACCTCTTGATTAGAAAGCAAATTTTGATACGGTTCGACGGAAGGTTGTTTTACCCACCCTTGAATTGAGGTAACAAAAGGAATGTACCTCCTTCAATCCTCGAATGTGATATCGCATAATCTAGCCTCACTGATATTCTCATTCGCATCTAGTTATGAAATTTCAGTATAGACTTTTAACTCGTAAAAAATATTCAAAAATAGACATACTCCTTATGTTGATGATGCCAACTCATTTTCAAGCAATTGCAGCCTTGCTGTATTCTTTTTGGAAAATAGCCTCTCAAGAGTCTCACACACTTCCTTTTGGTGAGTTGATGTCCCGAACATGATCTATGAACTCTTTGCTAATTAAGTTCTCAAAGCAAAGAGATCTTTACCACATTTAAACTTCCATTTTACGTGGTTCTAAATTTTCTGGAGTGTTTGTAAGAATGTTGTCACTATACCTGCAATTAAATGATATTGACCTTGAAGATATGTCTCCATACACATTCTATGATTCTTGTAGTTTTGTTCCTACAAGCTTATTGACATTGTAATATGTATTCAAACTGTATCCTCTAGTTGCTAGCTCCAACTCTTTCCACAACTTTCAATCTTCTCCAACGAGACAAATAACACTTGCAAGAAGAAAGAAAATACGACTTTCAATCTTCCCAACAAGACAAACAACACTTGATACACAATAAGAAAGAAAATTTAGTAAAAAATACTTGAACCTCGCCCTGATACCATAAAACAAAAGAAAGAGAAGAAAGCTACAATGATACGAAAGAGAGAAAAATGATGTTTATTTCTTTACACATTTTGAAAAATACAGCAGCAACTCAAACTATCTTATAGCTAAACTTGCTCACTAATAAGTTCTAAAATCTTGCCACTAAAACAAACTAACTTAGAAATGCTAAAAAACAAAATAAATAAAGAGAGAAGACCAATTCCCTTCCATATAGAGGGAAGAGAAATAACTTTGACTAGAAAATTAAAAATATAAACTAAAAACTAAACCAAAAGCCTCAAGATGGGTTGTGAACATTAGACTATATGAGACCATATATGTGGGTTAAAGTTAAATTAGGTTAAACTAAAAGTCACTTGGTAAATCATGGCTTAAGTAAAACAAATTCACCGAGTGAGTTGATGAAAAATCGCTTGATAGATAATAATCCAAGTTTAACCAAAAGTCATTAGGCGAGTCGTAGTCCAACTAGACGAGAGAAATAACCCAATAGATTGTATTCGAGGTGAAAACAACAAAGTCTCCATGTGGTCATAGTCCAACTGGGAAACTATAAATAATCGAGTGGTGAAACTAATAGTAAGAACTAGGTGGATCATAAAACCCAACTAGGTAAACGTCAATAAGAAGTCGAAGCTCAATTAAGTGAGACTTTAAATCAACAAGCGTAAGTGGTTTATATCGGGAACCTTCAAAATAAAACATGAGATTGGATATGTCACATTATAAATTTATATTATCATATCACATGTGACTTTAGCGTGTCATTGTACTTTATGTCTAAATTCGTGTCAATACGAATAGATAATCTGCAAGTATATGATGTAGCCTAACGATGAAATAAAAAAAATCTTTAGTTCAATTAAAAAATTGAAGTTAAAATTGATATAGTTAATGAAGGAACTTAAATACTAGATGCCAGCGATTTGGCAACAGGCAGTGAAATTAAAAGAGATAAATGAGAGGTTTATTTAACATTTTTATAAAGTTATAGAGGCTTGCTCGAAGTTGAAGAAGCCAAAGTCATGACTGTGGTTATTGAGATGAACTTCAATCAACTAATTGTTAAGACAAATTCTATTAGTGTTTGTTCTTTGATTCAATCCAATAAGGAAAATCTTTCACAATTAGGATTGATTGTACAAGATATTGTGAATATGGGCTGTCTCCGACATGGACCCGGTGAAATTGAATTCTCTAGATCATCTCTCCTAGTCTTGATCTAGTTGGTCCCCTCGAGATGGCAAAGAAATTAAGGGAGGTGAGTTTTATTCATCATAGACGAAGTTGCAACCACGTGACTTAGAAGCGATGAAACTCGTAGTGGGTGAAAATATTTTAGCATGAATAATGACCATTATAATTTATAAGGGCATAAAAATGACCATTATAATGGTCATACAAATTTTGTCATTCTAGCATTTTAAAAGTTTCACTTTAGTTGATATGTGATTTCAAAAATTTTAATTTGTGTTATAGTTTTTTATTTAAAAAATTATAGACATGTAGACATTTTCATGTATGGTATTAAATATCCGTCAACACGTCGACATTTTCATCGACATGTACATGTATCGATATAAGGTATATATTGACATTTTTATCATATTACAAAAAAAAGATAAAAATAAAAAATCGACAAAATACGAAAAGTATCAACAAAATGTCACTAATATATACGTAAATTTAATATTAGTAATTTAAAACTTATTTAGAAATAGAAAAGTGTTTATTTGTTAATTTTTTAAATTTCTCTATCTTTTATAGAAATATCCATCGATATCGACATTTCTATGAAATTGAGGCATTGAGATTTGCATCTATATCGACATTTAAAACCTTGTTTTCATGTATCCATAGGTTCAACGTCAAAAGATAAATTAACATTTTCATAATATTACAAAAAATCGACAAAATATGAAAATTATCAATAAAATCTCACTTATATAAATATAATATTAATATAAATTATTTTTAATTTATTTAGAAATGATGAAATACTTGTTTTAGAAAACTTTTATTTATATAATTTTTTTTTTAAAATATCTATCGACATCGATATTAATCAACATGAAATCGAGATCTCAACATTTCCACCACCGACCACACTCATATTTAAACCCGGGTCGGTGTAGGTTATCGAAGGGGGAATAAAAATAAAACACAATTTGGAACTTTTTTATTTAACGTAGAGATAATAATTCTGCGACTCCTCGATTTCGTGTATGTAATAAGCAAATTCCCACAGCAACGCGGTTTACCCTTTTTCTTCCATACGATTTGTCGCCTCAAATTCAATTCAAATACCACCAAACCAAACCCGCGAGTATGGCGTAGGGCGATGAATTCCAACCAAGAACGCCGATAACACAGTGGCCGCGAATCCGATCACATCTCCGCCATGGATTTACCTCAGTTTCTCTACCATCAACGCGATCAATCCAGGTATATATCTCCTCCTTCCTCCGCCCCTCTTCCTCGCCCTTTTTTCCCGGACGATCCCAATTTCCACTTCCCCCCAAATCACCACCACGTCGTTCCCGATAAAGGGATTGACTACCCTCTTCCCCGGCCGCCGCCGCCGTCGTACCACCGCCATCTTCCGATTCATCCACCCCCATCACCGGCGCCGCCGCCCGGTTACAATCCTGCTCAGCCCCAATTTGTTGTCTCTTCGTCTAATCACGACGACCAATTGAGGTCTGCGCACCCTCTTCGCGAATTTGCCCGATCCCCTCCAGTTTCGAGTAGAATCTCTTTCGATGGAGGATTTCATCGTGATTTTGTTGACCTCAACCATGCGTACCATGATGGCCGGCGGGATATTTCGGATCCATCCAGAGTCTCGGTGGATAATCGACCACCAATCCCGCATTCTCCTATTGATTTTGAGCGTGGAACGGGCCACCGAGATATTGACCGCAGGCCTGCCCTGCCATATCCGCCCCATGATATGTTTAGGTATAGTTCAGGTAATAGTTCTAGGCGGGGAGCGGAGTACAATGAGAGTTTTCAGACAGATCCAAGAGAAGAGGTGCTACGAGGACGAGGTGAGGAGAATTATTATCACCATGATCAGCTTAAAGCGGATTCCAATATTTCTTTTATGGAATCTGGAGCCACGGTTGTGCAGAGTCCATTGTCTAGGGACAACCAATTTACTTCAGGCAGTTTTGATAAACACCGCTATGGCTCGCCTTATGAAAAAGAATCTTTTAGGAGCCGTAGGGGTAGCAATGTGGTGGGTAAAAATCAGAGATGGGTTCACAGCAAAAAAATTTTTAGAAACATGCACAGTTCGTACTTAGAAACAGGAAGTAATGATAGAGGACATGGTGACCGTAGTGATTTTCGAATTATATCCGGAAAGCATGGGCATTCAAATTCAGAATTTGGAAAATATTACAATGACAATAATGGTAGTACAGAAGGTTATAATGAGTACACATCCACTCCACGGAAGCAAGTACAGAAAAAGAGTGCTTTTCTCAGAATTCAAATGGCAAATCCTTGCCACAGTAACAGAGAGAGTGAGCAGTTTTGTGATACTGATTATTTTGATGAGAAGAACAACGGTTCCCTTGGAGGAAAAAATCAGGCTAGATCTCTAGGCTACAGAATGGATGCAGGGAAGAAGAGAGAGGGAAGTCCCATGGAACTTGATGTTTCTTTCAAATCCAATTCGTTGGTGGCCAAGGCAATCATGGCACCAACACAATCTGCCTCTATCTCAGATTTGGCTATAATGCCCGGAAATGATATAAATATGAATGTTTTGGTTTCCTACCATGACTCTACTGACTCACATTTAACCAGACATAACAAGGGTGATGTAGTCACAGATGGTGTTACAAATCTTACCACTTGTTCCTCAGGCTCGAAAGATGAGCTGAAGGAATCAAAAGAGAAGGCTACAGGTCTGTTGGCTGATAATGGATCTAATAATTCAGCAGATGCTTCTTCAGTTATGAGCAATCATTCACTTGGAAAAACTAATGTTGAAAGGCCTTCACAGGGCAAGGTGTCAGATATAGAAGGGAAGAATGTTCCTGGAAAAGCATCTCCTATGAGGGCCATGAAGAAGAAAAAGGTTGTGAGGAAAGTAGTGAAGAAGGCAGTAAGTCCTCAAATGTGTTCACAGACAAGAAAAAGTGATGATGACCCTGTGAAAGTAGGTAGTTTGATAAATATTCCATCAGTTGTTACAGAGTCGGATAAGGGGTTAGGAGTTTCAGAAAACAAGACTTCCACATCTGGAACGAACTCAGACCATAATTTTGTGTTTAAGGCTTCTCAGCATGATATGTCTAGATTACCAGAAAATAGAAAAGCAGATCGATCTGTCCTGCCTATAGTTTCAGAAGAATGTCAAGCCAAGACTGATATGGGCATGAAATATGCAGATAAGAGTAGTAAAAATAGCTTAGATTCTCCTTTAAATTCCTTGATTAAAGATGGAACAGGAAATAGTAATCATCTTGAGAGAAACGGTTCTTTCATTGCCTTGCCACCTCTTTTAAATTCTAATAAGGATCTTACATTACCAAATGGACCTAATGAGTTTGATTTTGAAGGTGAGTCGAGCAAAGCTAGACTTTCTGGGATTAAAGATACGTTGGTTGAGAATGTATCAGGCAAAGAGTCTAAAGCTACCATGTTTTCACTAGGAGACAGTCAGTCTGTATTATTGGGTTCTAATGATCCTAATCCACATGATGATCTTGTTTATGGAAGTAGTTTGGTTGGTGATGTAGATACTCCCATAGATTTAGTCAATGAGGTAACTCAGTTTCAAGATAATACTCCACTTTCTGAAACTTGTTTTGTTGATGAAATTTGCAAGCATCCTTGTGGTCCTCCTGAGACTGATATTATAGGAGTACCTGCTGAAAAAGTTAGCAATTCTTTGGTGGCTATGCATTCAGAAGCAGCTGGAATGGAGATGGATTCCATAAGTTTGCAGGACTATAACAGTGACCAATATACTAATCAGGATTCAGATGATTGTTGTCAATGTACTAATATACGAGTGAATGAGGTTCTTAACTCTGAGATGATTGGTAATACGATAGATGAGGAGTCTGTGGATCTGAGTTCTGTATCACTAGGTGTTAGTTCTATAGGAAGATCTCCCAAGGCTAAGGTTTCAATCAAAGGTGTAAAAGGTGAGGAACCATTGTCTAAGACGAATGAAATTAGAGATTGTTTGGATTTTTCAGGTTCTGGTGATATCAATCAAGAGAGCAATTCAGAGAATCCACGTACAAGTTTTAATTCTAAAAACCGTTGTGCTTCAGATCAGGATTTTTCTGGTCTTGGAAGCATGGTATTGGATGTAAATGCTACCACCACTGGAGATTGTGCAGTGGCTGGTTACAAGTTATTAGGTAAGTCATCAAAAAATAAAATCTCGATGGCCTGTGATGTTAATAATGGAGGAAATGAGATATCACCCAAGTCTCAGAAGAAGCAAAAAGTATGCACTGCTGGTCCTGTTTTGCCTTGCCCTAGTGCTGAATCTAATGAAGGGGCTGCAATTACATTCATCTCTAGTTTAAGTGATCAGTTGACTTCTAATGGTGAATTAATGGAAGCTGAGGAGGTTGCAGCATCTAATGTGGATGCTCTTTGCACAGCTAGTCCTGTTTCTACAGATTGTTCAAAGGGAATCAGCATGATGCTCGATGATATATCAATAAAAGAATCTGCTAACAAAATCAATAATGTTGGTCCCTTTGAGTGTCACTTGAAATATGAGCAACCTGAAAAGAACTCTTGTTCAATCGAGGAGTTGATTGTTTCAAAATGTCAGTCACTTTCTCCATCAGCATTGGTAAATGAGAAAAAAGACAGCGGTACTCCCATAATGGACACAAATCAAAGAGATCATATGGGCGTAGTTATTGGTAGGAGAAAAGAATTAGATATTCATGCTGCAGAAGAGGAATCTATGGTTTATAATAAGACTGCACGGTTGGATGGTCCTTCTGAAGTTTCATCTTCTCAAACCTTAGATTGTTTACATCCAGTAACAGTTAGAGCTTCAAGTAATCTTGGCAAAGATAGTTTAGATCATATAGAAATATTTGCTGATGGGAAAAGATGCGCCACTGCCAATTCTGATAATGAAATTGTGGGTAGCATGTCTGATACACGAGGGGATTTGGGTTCTCCAAAAATCTTCAATGTTCCAGAGACTCATAAATTAAATTGTGAGGCATCGCTTAGTGAAATTACTGACGACAAAAATTTGAAGGAGAAATCCAATGTTGAAAATGGAAGGGCATTGACTGACACTCCATTTCCACAGTCTATCACCATTAGTCAGAAATTTGGTCGCTCCAATGCTGGCAACAATTTATCCACTGAAAAAGTATTACCACAGGCATTGGAAGAATTAAAAAGTGGACTTCAGGCTGATGATACTTCTGCTAATTCATGCAAGAAAAAACAGAATATGGGTTATTACAAATCTCGGACTTTTCCTGGTAAATCTTTTTCCACATACACTACTTCAAAGAAGTTAGCATCTGCAGCCTATAGTACAAAACCACGAAGTTGGCATCGGAATGTAAATTCTCAGGTTCCACCTCCTGGAAATAAGGTTTTTTCAAGCACTATTCCTCCCCAAGGGCAGTTACATGGAGGAGATGGAGTGGCTCAGGGTACTTCGTACATTCGTAAAGGTAACAGTCTAGTTCGAAAGCCTTCTCCAGTTGCTGCCCGAGTTTGGGGCTCTCATGATTTGAGTTCGAGCTCATCAGATCAGCTTGATTTCAGGTCTAGCATAAAAGCTAATAGTAAGGTTGATATTACTAATTCTTCTTTCCACTCCAAAGCAAGGAAAATTGACGCTCCTGCTGATAAGCCCTATCCTCCCCCACTGTCTAGTGGGTCCAGGTCGCCTAATTATTCAATTTCCATGGGTGATTTTGCACCATCTCCTTGCCATGAAACTGAATCACATCTCATGAAGTCTAAACATGTTAGTGATCTGTCAAAATCTGTTGGGGATTCATCAAAGATATTGTTAGCTTCTAAAAGTCAGGTTGGTACTGCTGATAAGAAAGAAAATCCGACTGAAACAAAAGACAAGAATTCTGTATCTTCAGTTCTAAAAAGGATAGTGTATGTAAAGCGGAAATCAAATCAGTTGGTCGCAACGTCAAATCCCTGTGATTTATCAACAAGGAATGTGGACACAACTCGTTCCTTGGCCTCTGATGGCTATTACAAGAGGAAAAAAAATCAGCTGATCAGGGCTACATCCGAATGTCACATGAAACAGACTTTACTCCCCACTGAAGATGTTTCAGACCCAGGAGCCCAAAGCTCTTATGGAGATGGAGATGGAGATGCTAGAAGTTTCAATAAGAGGCAACAATGTAAAGGTATAATAGCTAAAAAATAGCTTGCTTCCATAGCCTTGTGAATGTTTCCATTGAATTAGTATCTTAGGACCAGTCTCACGTAGGGAGAGATCTTAAAATTTTATATTTCATTTTACTGTTATACAATGAACCAAAGCTATGATAACATACATCACAGAGGAGGCAGTTTTACAGGATTCTTCCATCTTTTTATCCCTTATGTCTGCATGGCATACTTTTCAGTGCTTGCAGTTCTGTGTAAATCTCTTATTCCCAAAACCATTTATCCTATTAATGCATATAATTATATATTTAATTGGTGGTAGCTTTAGCTACCAGCTCTGTAGTTTTCTCCTTTTTCCATTTTCCTTAAAGGGAGTTTATAGCTTTGAAACTGCTTGTAATTTTTCTTGGAACTTGCTTTTCTTGGTTGTAAAATCAACTGTCGATTCATGTGATAGGTGATATAATGTTAAAAAATAAATAATTGAGATAAGTGTTTTCTGGATTAATAGGTCGTACTTGATTGTCCAAAAATGCTTGAGATATATATCTTTTTTATGTACTTTCTTTCTTGTTTCCAATTATTGTTTTGTCTGTCCTCTGAGGTCACCTTGATGGAAAAAAACTGATCGTAACTATTTAAAACTATTATCTTTCATTTAAGAGAAGAGTTTTGTTAAGTTATTGCTGGATTTTGTTGTCACAAGTCATTCAACTGATTTGTCTTTTTCCATGATTCTTGCCCAAGTGTGGTTAGTATCCCTAATAGCTGTCATTTATGATTAAGATGATATGTAAGTTTCTTCCATGCATCATTTGGTGTAGGTGTGGATTTAGTTTTCCTGAAATTCACCATGGCTTTGTTTTAGAATGAATTGTAGTCTTAACAAAACTAAATTGAGACTTTATTTACAGTTGTAGTGAAAACACATGGGCCTTCAAAGTCCTCTTTGGTGTGGACACTTCGCAGTTCAGATGCTCCACGAAATGGTGATGGTAATTTGCAGAATCATAAAATTGTTCCTCGTCTTTTTCCTTGGAAAAGACCATATTGGAAGACCGTCAAGCCAAACACTTATACTCATAAAAATAGTTCTTCCTCTATAGTCAGGCACGTGGCACATGAACTATTTCAATTCTTATTTCTGCTTGTTTCATTTCCAACCAAAGGTTGCTGTTTGGCTGAACAAGTGGTAATTCCAATGTTTTTTCACCAGAAAATTGATGCTGTTGAGGAACAGGAACACAGTTTACAAAAGATCAAAACATGGATTTTCACTTCGAAAATCCAAGGTACTAAGTATGGGCAGATCTAGTTTGAAGTGGTCAAAATCCATTGAAAGGCACTCAAAGAAAGCTAATGAGGTCTGTTGGAAGTTGGATAGTGATATATACGTAGGCTGCCATTTTGACTTCCTTTACAGTCTTCTATTTATTTTTTTTATGGGCATTTGTGGAGGCAAGAGTGATCTTTGACCTTTTCTTGTATAATTTGTTTTTAGAAAATAGCTTTTTTCTTTTTCTTCTTTAACATAGGAAGCTACAAGGGCAGTTGCTGATGCAGAAAGGAAGAAAAGAGAACGTAATTTGGATGCTTCTGTTTCCCCTGATGCTGAGGCTGGAAGTCAGTTTTCCTGTAAGTTCGTTAGATATTTGCAATTTCTGTGAAAAGACTTTTAATTTTCCTGGTGTGGCCAATTGATCTGCAGTGTTTCTTTTAATGAAGTGATATGAGTTTGGACGGTTATAGTAAAGAATGGTGATACTTAGTTAACTCATGTCTGTGGGAAAAAGTCTATCTTTTTTCTACGACAGAGGGTAGTGGCATTTTTTCCAGGCCATTATGTTCATGATTGTGATACCTCTCAGCTAGTTGTTATATTTGCTTTTGTGGTTGATTGTCTTTAAGAGAGTGGTGAATATAAGAACTTGATTGATGGATGGTTTCTTGGTAGAACAAAGAAGTCATCATTCCATCTTATTCTCTAATTTGCAGATAACATGGTGACCTCTTGCTTGGGGAAGGAGTATTTGGTTTCCCTTTGTGAAATTAAATTTTATTATCATAGTTATTCCCTTTTGGTCTTCCTTTAGAGTTTGCATAAAAAATTATTTTAGTCAGTGTTAATTTTTTATTAATTGTTTAACATCAATTTGAATTTATTTTGAAACCGGTATTTGACCTAGGATTAATACTTGTTTACGTAAATGTAAAACTTATCTGGTAAATGTATAAAACACAGGTCTATGTTAGACTTCTGTTAAATAATTTACAAAAAGATTAATAGTAAGGACTGGATGGTTTTTTTTATGCAAGGTTTAGGACTAAAATGGAATATTTGAAAGTTATAAGACCAAAATAGAATAAACATGAAATTTTGAAAGTTTGAGAACCAAAAGTGGAGTTAAATCATAAAATTTCATCGTTTTAAAATGGTGAAGAATGGATTAAAAAAATTATACAGATAACTATTTAGTACTAAATATAAAATGCTTGACTCTATAACTTCTCTTTGTAAGTGTAGTAGTTTGAAGTGCAGTTCATTATGATTCAGTTGATTATAGAAGTCAAATACAGGAACTTGTTTAAATCTAACTTTTATTTTTTTGAAACAAAACTGTAGCTATCCAGATATTACTTGCATGCACAACTTTATATGTATAGACATCCTCCTCTAGTTTACTGTTATTATTCATCTTTCATGTCCTGCAGATGACCAAGCATCCGGTTCTACCACTCTCCAACCAAAAAAAAGTGCTAAGAAGTTTTATGTTCCACGAAGACTAATGATTGGAAATGACGAGTATGTGACTTATTTAAACTACAGTACATGGTTACTCATCTGCACGCTCATTAGATGAACAGTATACTGGAGTAGTATCAACATCATTTTTGTTTATACTGTGGAAACAAAAAATGCAGATTTTAGTAGTTCAGTTTCCTTTACCTACTAGTTCTAAGACAATTGAGCTAACTTTCCTGTGGTTGACTCTCTGATAAACTGGTAGATATGTTAAGATTGGAAATGGAAATCAATTGGTCAGAAATCCAAAAAGACGAGCACGCATATTGGCAAATGAGAAAATTCGATGGAGTTTGCACACTGCAAGACAGCGTCTGGCGAAGAAGCGGAAGTACTGTCAATTTTTCACAAGATTTGGTAAATGTGACAGAGAAGGTGGCAAGTGCCCTTATATTCATGACACTTCCAAGATTGCAGTCTGCACAAAATTTCTTAATGGTTTATGTTCTAATGCAAGCTGCAAATTGACTCATAAGGTTCATCATTGATTCCTTGGCGGACCTTTGTTCTTCAAACTTTGATTTTGCTTTTCATTGATAACCTTTCAACTCAATTTTCTGCCCTCAACAGGTCATTCCAGAAAGGATGCCTGATTGTTCATACTTTTTACAGGGTACTTTTTAAACTTCGTCTTTTCAAAAAATTTATAGGACTGCAGGTTTATGATGGACTTCTTGACAGGTTTATGCAGCAGCAAAAACTGTGCCTACAGACATGTAAATGTGAACTCAAAGGCCCCTACTTGCGAGGCTTTTCTAAGGGGCTATTGTGCTCTCGGCAACGAGGTAATTTCCACTCTCATAAAATTTTATTTTCTGGTTTCTCGAAGGACTTTACATTATTTAGGCAATTTGAACTCTAAACAATATCGGGCAAATTTTCTGGTCAAACTTTTTTTCTGATAAGAAACCGAGACCTTTCAGATCCTGGTCAAACACCATTAGAATTGATATCTTGCCTTCGTTTTCTATTGGATTGAACTGTAAATCTTACATTTTTTAGAAAGCTTTATAGTGGGAATGCGATTTACTTCTCATGGTTGCTATTTGGAAACTTCTTCAATTGGTCAAAAGTGAATCCATGCTATATGAATGAGAAAGGGTAGATGTCTTACACCAAGTCGTAGCAAGAAATATGATATGATATTGTCAAAGATTCTAGCAAAGGGAAGTTCTTTCTCGATGAAGAGCCTATGGTTTCTTTTGTTCCAAATGATCTAAAAAAGGCTCTTCTGATGTGCTTCCAGAGGATCTCCTTTTCTTTCTTGAAGGGGTGGCCCACCAAGACAAATGAGAGTAAGGTCTTGATGTGAAAAGGTAAAGCAACTTTCCAATTAAATGCTAGGAGAATCTCGTCCCAAAATTTTGATGCAATGCATGTGTGGAAGATGTGAGGTTGTGATCCCCCTTCTCCTTTACAGAGGATGCACCAATGAGGAGAGATAGTGATAAAAGGAAGCCGTCGCTGTAGTCTGTCATGGGAATTGATGGCATTTTGTGCAAGCTCCCATATGAAGAATTTGTTCTTTTTTGGGTAGAAATCACCCTAGATAGATTTTGCAAGAGGGGGGTGGATGTGTGACTCCTTTGTTCCCATATCAATAAGGAGAGACTTAGTAGAGAAGAGACCCTTTTTGTCAAGAGGCCAAATCCACGAGTCTTCATCGTTGTTGAGGTGGATAGATGATAGCTGGTTGGATAGTGCAGTCCATTCTTCAATTTCGACATGCTTGAGATATCGCCTAAAACCCAAGTCCCAAAAGCCAAATTCGTCATTCCATAACTCTTTCACTGATGCTGTCTTATATTGGGAGATAGAGTGGAGATGAGGGAAAAGGAAGCCAAGGGGGATCCATGTAACCAAACATCAGACCAAAAGGAAGTAGAAGCCCCACTAACCTGAGAGGGTATGCGATCATGAATAACGTGACGTTGCTTATGAATGCTCTTCCATGGGCCACGAGCAAACTTTATGGATTTGGAGCCGGGTTTGTGTCATGAGAATCGATTGTGTATTTAGCATCAATAACTCTCCATAAAGCTGTTTTTTCCTCACAGTAGCGCCAAATCCATTTGCAAGTAAAGCATGATTCTTGTCCTGCAAACTATGTAGACCGAGTCCACCTTATTCAATGGGGAGAAGGACTTTATCCCATTTAACAAGGTGAATGGCTGATGAATCGGTGCTGCCCCTCCAGAGGAAATTTCTGAAAATCCTCTCAATATCAGAAGCCACCTTGTTAGGCAATGCAAGATAGTAAATGGTAATGTTTGATAGAGCGGCTTGGATGAGTAGGTGTCTGCCCCCTTTAGAAATATAGGAATATTGCCATCCATGAATGAAACCTTCTCTCAATTTTCTCAACCACTGGAGCCCAAAATGCTGTGGAATTAGGATTACCATGAAGGGGGAGACCAAGGTATGAACTTGGCCATCTACCAAGCTTCCAGCCATAATTTTCAGCAATGGTATCCATGAAATCCTCTTCCATACTGATGCCAACAATCTCAGATTTATGTAAATTGATGTTTAAACCTGATGCCTCTTCAAATGTCTTTATGATATTGAAGAGGTTCCGGATTGCATCATCCTTGAGGAAAAGGATGGTATCATCTGCAAATTGAGGTTCCGGATTGCATCATCCTCAAGAAAAAGGATGGTAGCATCTGCAAATTGGAGATGATGGATATGCAATGACTCCCCAATTCAAAACCTTTAATCAAGTTGGAGGCAGCAGCTTGTGATAGAAGACGGCTAAGGCAATCAACCACCATAATGAAGAGAAAGGGTGAGAGTGGATCCCCTTGTCTAAGATCTCTAGAAGCTATAATCTTATGTCTAGGTCTCTCATTGATGAAAAGTGGCTCTAATTACAATTAGTCACAAATTGGTATAATTAAAAAAAGAACTTGAAAGTGTAGACTACTTAGCCATGTCAAGTACTTCATTCCAGTTTCTGTTCGTCTCTTATTTCAAGAACTGTTTGCTTGTTTTTGCCTTAGTTTTCTGTTATTTTTGGAAGCTGTTAACTTATCCTACTTCTAAACATTTTGTTCTTTCTTAAGTTTTCTACTCAACGCGTAGTGTGATCTCCACATTACCTCCAATTTTTGTAATTGCAAATCTAATGAAACTGAGGACGTAATTGTTCAGTGCCGTAAGAAGCACAGTTATGTGTGCCCCTTGTTCGAAGCGACAGGAACATGTCCTGAAAGACCCAAGTGCAAACTTCACCACCCTAAAAGACAAACTAAAGGAAGAAAAAGGAAACGATCAGAAGAGAAGAATAACGATCAAGGACGATACTTTGGTTCCAAGCGTATCAATGCTGCTGGGTCTAGTAGAATGGTGGTGACTGAGAAGCATCCTGTTAAGTTAAGTGACCCTTATCCTGAAGGGGATCTGGCAGATTATATCAGCCTTGATGTCAGTAGCGATGAAGAGACTGCAGAAAGCCAGGACTACTCAACAAGCCAGAGAACATCCTTTTGTGAAGGTTACCTTCCAGAGTTACTGTTAGATGATCCCGACGAGCTGATCAAACCGATTCGGATAATGGATGAGAACCTGATAATGCAATCGTTGGGAAGCTGAGCTGCCTGCTCCTCATTCTGTGCCAGGTTTGTCCAATCTCTCACCATTAGAGTTTAGTATGGTGTACACCTGCTCTGCTAACGTCTGTAACACATTATCACAGCTTAGGTTTAGTTTTAGTTTTTAGTTTTTAGTTTTTAGTTTTAGTTTTTCTTCTTAGTGCAGAGTTCTGGAAAACTCCACTTCTGCCATTACTGTAAATCAACATTTTAATTTGAAAGGAATGAAATGATTTTATGAGAGCATGGTGGATGTATGATAGGCTACAATTTTCTTTTTAATTTTATTTTGGTTTAGTCTCATGTATACTACCTATTCAGGTGTGATTGTAGTATGCTTTTTCCTCTATCTTTGAGCAAGAGAGTTGAATGCAATACCCAGTTACCCACATAGTTTTCAATACTTGAGAAGGGCTACTATTAAAACCTTCCATTTGAACTTTAGATTAGTGTCTAGAATATTAGAAGTCATCGAAGGAAGTACGGCGTCATTTTGGATCAATTCGTTCTTGTATTCGTTCAACAAGATCCATTCGGATTGGATCATATCAGGATGAATTTAATTGGTCTAATCTCTTGGATGTCAAACTCTCGCCGTCAACAGATGTTTCGTACCACGTTTTGTGAACACCTATGCTTGGAAATGAATGAACTGTGTGATAGAGTGCTAGAAAATATTAGGGGATTGAATTTTGGTTAAAATTTACTGGTTCTTGCATTATACATTTTAGCTCTCATACTTCTATTTGTAATAATTTAGCCTTTATATTTTGAAGAAGTATAATAATGAAGTCTTTTCATGTTGGGTATTCAACAGTATCCTAAAGTATAAGGATAAAGTTTTAGCCTTCAATTTTAGCATTTTTTTATTCATTGATAAAGTAAAATAAAGAGTTAATAATATTACTTAAAATCATAGACCCAGTTACTTAATTCATTGAAATAAGTAATGCAAACTAGTCAATGGATTTTTATTTTAAAATATTTAAATAACTAAATTATGAACGAAGTTTTTTTCTCCCATTTTTAGAGAATACATTGCAATTTAAAATGAAAGGATAAACATTCCAACATACAACATTTTTAAAAAATTGCTAATCCTTTTGTTAAACAATCTTTTTTCCCTCAATTATCATACATAAAGGAGAATTATTGTTCCACTCCATGTAAATAAGATGCTCATTACCACTATTAAAATACAAAAGTCCTGGCTCAAACTAACTTAAAAAGTGTTTGACAATGAAAATGTAGATATCGGATTAATTAGTTCAACTCAATCAACTCCCCAACTAAAAATTTCGCTACAACAACTTAGAAAGATTATCGCCCAAGACATCATAATATATTTTTTTAGTCTAATAAAGAGAAAAAAAAAAGGAAAGAAAGAAATAACCAATAATTTAAATGCACACCAAAGGTGGAACAAAACCAGAAAAATCTTATCCACACATAATTGGATCTGATTAAAAATAAAAGCTCATCTACTCGAACACAACAAAAAGAAATCAGAAACTATAAAACAGAGCAACAAAAACCAACCATTTCTCGAGATAAAACATCACCATTTCCCTCAATTTTCCGCCATGGCAGCAGCTTCTTCTTACATGGTCTCTCCCATGGTGGGTTGGAGAGAACCCAAAGGGCACTCAAAACCCACAACCAGAAACAGAGTCCCCATCTCTGCTCAGGCCAATGAAGCGGCAGAGCAACTGAAAGTGGGAGAAAACGAGCAGGCACCGCCGCCGCCGCCGCCACCGCTGCGGCCGGTGGAAGTGCAGCAGAACGTGAAGAGCAAGAACATGAGCAGAGAATATGGAGGGCAGTGGCTGAGCAGCGTGACTCGGCATGTGAGAATCTATGCAGCTTACATAGACCCAATTACTTGTGAGTTCGATCAGACCCAAATGGATAAACTTACGCTCATTTTGGATCCCAGTAATGAGTTTCTTTGGAATCCCCAAACTTGCAATAAAGTCTATGCTTACTTCCAAGAACTTGTTGATCACTATGAGGTACTTTTTGATTTTGTTTTTGTTTTTTTCCTTCTCTCTTTTAAATTTGATTATTTTAGTGGGTTTTGAGAGTGGTTTAAATTCGGGTTTGAAATTGTTGATGCGTGATTCTAGACGATGGATTAGATGCGGTTGATAATTGCATGTTAATGTGATCGGAGAGAGCTGTTAAGGTTGAAAGTAGTGATGGAGAGTGGGGGTTATATTGGTGTAACGAATATGTCAATTAACATGGTGCTATGTCCACTTTGACGGCCATACATCTCTAGGTTCATTATCAATAAAAAATTCTCTTTTTCTACATTTTTGGTTCAAAGATGGAGGGTGGCGAGTAATCTAAATGTTTGAAAAATACTTGTCTCCTCTCAACAATGAGGAGGAGTTTTGTTGTCCTGACAAGGGAGAGAAATACAAATATAAAGAATTTTTTTTAAATAATAATGAATTGTCAAATATTCAATAGTAAGAGGACATCCTCGTTGAGTAGCCAAGTATTTTCCTAAATAGTTGAGTTCGACGAAGTTAAAAGAAAATGGTTCTTTTTCTTTTCTTTTTGCTTGCTTGGTGTTTACGTTAATAGTATTTGAATTTGGTTCTGATTGAGCATGTTACACTTGGAAATCAGGGGGCTCCATTGACAGAATATACACTTCGGCTAATCGGTTCAGACATAGAACACTACATAAGAAAGATGCTTTATGATGGAGAAATCAAGTACAATATGAATGCAAAGGTTCTCAACTTCAGCATGGGAAAGCCCAGAATTATGTTCAATAACAATGATCTGCCTCAGCCAAATCAATAAATTATATATAGTTAACTAATGCAAAATTATATGTGTTACATAATAATATTCAATGTGTTGTGTTCTAAATACAATCACAATTCTGTTTCATTCTGATGCTGTAGTGCAGTCTTCAGCAGTTCATAAGATCTAAGGTAGCTTTTATAAGTTAACTAAATAAATAAGGCAGCCCGCTTCTGTCTTTGGAAATCGAGGGCTCGTAAAGGCTACTTTCATCTATGTATTTCATCAGATTTTTATAAACTAGTTTTTGGAATTTGTAATTTGGCTAAGAAGGTAAACGTGCTTCGAAAAAATGTAAAATATATATATATATTCTTTGAGAGGAGATCTATTTATAGAAGGATTTCTTTGATTTTACCAAATTTTGGCTAAGAATTTTCTTTGAGAGGGGAAAGAGAACGAGAGAGAAAAGTGAGAGGGAGAGAGAATTTTCTTTGATTTCTTTTTTTTTGTTTTTTTTTCAGTTTTTCTTTTTCAATCATGGATTATGAACAAGATATACTTTATGCTTGCAATGTTCTTCGAATGGCAGGAAAAACAAGGCGGTTTTTTCATTTCTTCGTTGAAGATAGAGAAAGTTTGAGGGAGAGAACAAGACGAAGAAAGAGAATGGGAGAGAAAATCATATTCAAATGAAAAAGAGAAAAAGAGGGGTGAAAGTAAAAATTTATTGGATGATGTCACATTTCATAATTGCCGTTTGAGAAAGGCTACTCAGCCCAATTACCCCTTGTTTATGCTTTACTTGAAAAGTATTTTCATAGATAATTAAATATTTATTTTAAAAATTAATCCTTGAATCCAATTTTTCTCCCATGATTAATTTTTAAAATAAATATTCAAATAGTATTTCTTAATTTCATAAAAAAATTGGTTTTTGTAAAATAATTTAAATTATTTTAATTAAATAAATAGTTTATAAATTATATATATATATATTTTTAAAGAAAATTAAAACTCAACCAATCAATACAAGTTTAATAAATCCAATTTAACAAAATAAAAAAATACTAAACAAACTCAAATTTAACAAATCTAATCTAACCAACATATTTCAAACTAACTGTAACTAAACCAAGAAGAAATGGGTCATATTGAAAGTACCCTCTTTAAATGGAGATTTTTATCTTCCAATTTTCTGAAAAAAAATGTACTTCGAAATTCAATTTGTGATCCTTTTTCAAAATATGGATTTTAAACAAAAAAAAAAAAAATTGAAATTCAGTTTCAAAACTTTAACTTATCTTTTAAAGAAAAAAAAAATCTTAACTGAAAATCAATTGCAAAATTCAAATTCCTTTTTTAATTAACGACCCAAATACATGATTAGGTGGGACGGTTGGATGGAAACTTTGAACAATATATAAAGAAAAAGAGAGTGATATTTTTCACTTTGGTAGCCCTAAGTTTCACAAGAATTGTTTGGAATAATTTTTCGAGTCGCCATCTACGACTGCGATTGTCTGAGATCAGGCCGACGCCATTAATAGCCGTCGATGGCGAGTCGAAGAATTATTCCAAACAATATTCTTGTCTCTCCCTACAAATCAGATATGGAAATTAGAGAAAACAGAGAGTGATTAATTTACTACAATCAAATCAGATTATTGAGTGCTTAGTTACACATTTGATTTGTCTGTTTTGCTACATGGATTTAAGTTTGTACAAGCTTTCTTGAAGAAAAGATTGGATCTTGAAAACCCTAAAACAGGCCGAAACCTCTATAAAATTGATCCTTTGCAAAATCCTACTTTTAGATCTGGTCTTGCTTGGAATCGTGTATGTTATTGTCAAGAACGAATAACATACACGTCCAATTATTTATTTATTTATTTATTTATTTATTTACTTACTGGTAGTTTGTCATTGTCGATGAGAATGTCTTGTGAAAATATTAATGTTGATGTCTATTGTTGGAGGCTATTCATCCCCTGCCACTTTGTCTAACAATGGAGGATCGTTTTACTTGAATAAATGTGATTATCGTGAGTCCCACCAGCTCGGTGTCACGTGCTATTTATCACTTTATTCGAACAACCCGATAGAGGTGCGAGTCAACTGCTATTTATCACTTTATTCGGACAACCCGATCGGACTGTGACTGACTTGCTCGTCGGAGTGCTAACCTTGTTTTGCAGGTTCTTCGGGAGTGCAAGAGAGATCGTCCTTCCAGCTCCGATGATATTTCGTAAAAAGGTTATAAAAATAAGAAAATTCATAAAAAAATATTTAAATTAACCCATAGATATTTTAACTTTTCTAAATAAGTCTAAAATAATTGATATTAATATAATATATTTTAATGATATTTTCATATTTTGTCTATTTTTTTTGCAATACTATGAAAATGTAACTCCTGGTGTTGATGTCCAACTTAGAGATTGCAAAGGCATGAATATGTAGACATCCCATTTGAGAATGTTTTTCTGAATACAGACTCTCTTAAAAATTGGCTTGAATCAATTCTTGGTGCTGTTTTAATTTGTATTTCCTCATCTTTTTT